CTTTCTTTTGACAAAAGGATGAAGTCTCTATCTGTCAGGGAAGCCGAGATATTGCAAAATAAAAAAGGTCTTCAACTTTTGAACAGCACTTTTTATATAAAAATTAACCCGGTCCTGAAAGGGTTAACCAATGCTAATATTACAGTTACTTGATCGATTCAAAAGCGGCGTTGGTAGAGTATATATGTATGTTTGAAAATAATTAATTAATTTTCTCTGAATCTTCTAATTAGTGAATACATTTATCTCTGACATATACTTATCATTTGATAATGACAACAACAGACAACTTTCATATGCCTATACTATCAAGTATAGAAAATTAACATTGTTAAGGTTATTTTATACGTTTAGTGCTAATCAAAAAAGCATACGCATATTATCGTACGTATTACTAGGGATCTGATTGTAATACTTAAATGAATAAAATAATTACAAAGATTTTGAATTGATAAATATATGGTTCGAAGAAGTAGTGTCATCTTCAATGCTATTCCAACAAAAGACAAACTTTACAAGGCAGTAACTCTGCAGAAAAAAAAATTCATAGTATAGAAACATAATTATTTTTGGCAACAATTGGATGAGAAAATTTTGTATTAGGTTTGGTTTCTAGCCGTTCCTGCGATTCGATAATTGCTAAAGAGATAGATAACTACTTTAGAAGGTTACCGAGTGTAGGGAAAATATTGGACTATTCGATACTCATAAGTTTCATTTGTTGGCATTTTACGGTAACAATATCCATAAGTAGCTTTGCTTTTCTGTCGCAGTCATTGACAGCTATAGTTGAAAAACATAAATATTCGGACTCTTAGCCAGTAATTATAAGTGAAACTAATTAAATACTATTTATATTACTATTTATTAAACATATCAATTATTCACATACAGATTCATCCTCACAAATTATTCCGATTAATTAAGGCAATTGTCTTTGACGAAAGCGTTAATTATTATGGTGAATTCTGTTGAATTTTATTATTATATTGATCTAATTCATTTTCCAAATTCTTCAATGCATCGGCATCCGATTTATCTAATTTATAATTACTTTGTGGTAATTTTACACCAGCTTTTATCTCCTTATTTTTACTGCTGGAACCAAATAGACCTTTCAGAAATTTCCGTTTTGAACCAGGTTGACCTTTGAATACACTCATAATTCCGTGAAGTTTACTAGTTTTTTCCTGATGACTATTGTTTAACGTTTTCTCACTATTCTCATCATCATCATCCGCCGTTTCTGATTCATCATTATCTGTTGGGGTTGTTGTCGGTTTTTTATCATATTTTCCCTTGCTACTACCTGCACATCCTAATATTTCCAATAACTGTTTTAATTGTGGATTGGCATGCATAGCCATTGTTGCCATCTTTACATAATTATTTTCACATACACTAGCTTTGTCCATATTTCGTGAACTTAACATTTTTTGAACGAGTACTCCAACAGCTGCACCTTTAAAGAAAAAACCAACAATAGATGAGTATCAAAGAAATTAAATTTTGTCTGTTTATTTTTTTTTTTTTTGTCTGCTTACTCAATAAGCTGATGACAATTGGATTTTTTAACAAATCTCGAATTTTTGAACGTTCAGATGGTGCTAAATTTGAAGTTTTAGTACGGGATAGGTCACTAGAACCACCTCCAAGCAGTTTGCTTAAAAGACCACGTTTCTAAACAAAAATGTTGAAGGATTGTAAAGTTGGTAGATATTGAGGAGCGTACCAGATTCAAAATAGTATAATGTTTAAGATCTCGTTATATACATTAAATATTCTCTATTGTTCTAGTGTTTTCATACAATTACTTTGTCTGACAACGACAAAGTCATAGTCAATTTCCAGATAGTTAAAAATAAAACGTTTTAAAAATTTATACTGACCGTCATTGTTCTGCCATGAGTAGCAAGTGCTAAAAAAATGACCAAAACCAGAACCAATAAATGTTTTGACCACATATTTAATAAATCCACCGGAACACAGTAAGTGTTTGTAAGCGATATAACTAGTATGCGAACGTCTACTCAAGGTTTATATTCTCTTATTATATTCTAGGTTCTATTTTCTATACCATTTCCAAAATATTCTTGTACTGTTATATCTATAGTTGTCAGTTAGAACAAACGATCAGTTGAAGTATATAACATCTATAGAGAAGGTCTTTTTTTTTCTTTTTCATGCATTATCTATGTAGGTGTTAAATCTAGAATTTGAGTGGTGATATATAATAATAAACATGGTACAGATACAGGAAAAAGAACAAACTGTTCTTCTCGTTTGTATTCTGATAAGTTACAGACTGTCATTTCAAAAAATACGTATTTATCCTCAATAGTCAAATGACATGACCCTGTCCTCATTTTATGCAGACTGACAATCAAAAAATGATCCGAAAAATGTTCTGTTCATCCTAACACTAACGTGGAGAACAAAAGTTTAAGATACTTTGTTTTCTCAATTTTTCTACCAAACACAAAGCGATTTTTCTCAATAAAATCTAAGGAATGATTCCGTGTGCATGCTACATACATTATAAAATGTGACGAGAGTCAAAGAAGAACATGCAACATGAAAGGGAATCGAAATTTACAGCACTTAATCATAATAATTTGCAAATTATGGTGTTCGAAAGTTAATGTAAAGACTTGTAAGTCTTTGAAAAACTGTTCAAAATCCATCAGAGACATTGAATAAAAAGGTGAATAAAATCAGTTTCATTAACTTGTTATGGTCTTTCATCTGATGCATATGTTTTCAAATGCAACACGTGTATTTTAAATGCAATACAAGGTTGAAATTCAGCATTAATTCATCTGTAGATAGTGTAGCCAGTAGACTCGGCCTCCTCTGATTTTGGAATCAAACATTAAAAAAACACCCATTTTTATTAATAGGCTGAGTCATGCTCTTGATTTTTGTTTCATTCAAGGAAAAGATAATCCAATTACATATGCAATAATGGAGGGAGCGGATAAGATAGATCTCATCTTTTAACTGTTCTAAAATCGAACTACACCATCGGACTCAGCATGTGAAAATTAGTCGAAACACGTGCTTCCCATCCAAGAAACATCATTTAGCTCTAGAAATCGAAGTATCCCAAATTAAACAAAAATGTCCTCTCGAGGTACAAACACATATCATATCTTTAAAGAGGATGTTTTGGTATGTCTTAAACCATAAGGAATATGAAATTGATGATTGTGAGCACAGTGGCATCCATATAACCTTGGAAACGTTCATGAACTGAAAAAATAGTTTGATGAAAACCAGTTCAATCATTTTGCACTATTTTACACCCAATGGGCCATGTAGTAGACTCTTTATTGACCGAAATATGACTTTGATAGAGGAATTATGTTACCGCTATCATATGTTTTTTTCGTATAAATTGATGACTATATGAAACATAAATCCGAAGTATAGAAATTGTTTAAATTTTATCTGTCGATTACAGAAACAATCTCAGTTTAACATATGATTGCTTTGGTCCAAGGAAACGTGCAAAATACTACCGTAATTATAATAAGTGTTTATAAAATCCCGATAAACACATCTTCAATTTCTCCTCAGAAGTACCATAAGCACTTTACACTAACTTTCGAATATCGTAATTTACAAATTACAATAATTATTCACTAAAAAAGGTACTCTAAACTTTTGTTCCCTATTGTAATACTGGTCTATGACGCACTTCTTACACAATACGATGATGAAAATGCAGTTTGATATTTATTGTAGAGAATTACAGAGTATAGATAAAACGATTAATTACTGCAACAAGATATCAAATTTTTAAGCAAAATGTCGTTTTTATCTTGCTCTGTCATCAGCTCTTAATGGGGTGTTGCAACAAATGTCAAGCGCTGTTTCCCCATGTGCTGAAGACTTGGCTTTTTTTATTTAAAAGAGCAAGGTCTGAACTACACAGTGTGCATCAAAACAAATTTTTCTCTCATAAAAGTCCACTAAGGAAAGAGTCAAGCACTAAGCAACAGAAAGTCACCTATGGTCCCCACAGGCAAAATTTGTAGTTTTTTTTCGTGAAGTGGATCTCATGTGAGCTTTTGACGAAGAAGCAAAAGTTTTACTAAAATCATGAATGGCACATCATTCGATTCAGTTTTTAGTACTGATTACGAATATCACCTTTATTTTGCTTTAAAAACGATTCTTGATGATAAAAATTTGCATTTATTTCTAAAATTATACTGATTTTGAGTTATATTGAACTTATTATCACGATTTCATCATGATCTCAAACTTATAATTCAATTATTTATACATATTCGTATAACTCTTCCCATGGGCTATTCATTACTACAAGAATGGTTTGAAATTAAAGCTTGAATAGTAGAGAAAAAAGTGAAATACCGTGCCGTAAAGAATTAGATCTGAAATGTTTTTTTGATAAAAAGTAACGGTTGTTTTTATTTTTAAGCACTTCTTCTCACATATTCTTGATCAGCTCGTTGAGCTTTATCGATTGGTATATTTGAAAAAAACGTTCCATTCGCATTTCCCTATCGAAAATAAATTATTAATGTCAATTCAGCGTCAAAAACATTGGTAGTTTTTTTATAATAGTTGATTTCTGCAACAAAATGAATTTTGAAGCTCCGAAAAATACAGAAAACGACATGAAATTGAATTCTCTATCGATCCTACAGGATTCTTGGCCGCGTCCTTTGTTTGAAAGTCAAAAAAATAGGGTCTTTTTTTAGAGTAAAGTGACGAATTTCAAAAAATTCGTATCTTTTCAGTGGAAGAGCGTAACGCGGTAGGACTATTCGCATTTTGTGGAGGATCTGTCGTCCTGCCACGCATCACGTTTGTCGCAAAAATGAAAACTTTTTCCAAAAATTACAGGGGATGTACGTTTAATTACCAGTTTTGGAAGGAATAGATAAATTGTTTTCAATTTTTGAGGTGAACCTTGGATCTTCATTCAACTTTGTACAAATTGATGTAAAAATAAAACCTAATCACCGTTAGTCACTACTTGTAGTGCCTCATTTGCTGAAAGCGCTAAGTATGATATGCGAAATGTCGATTTCTAGAAAACTAACTTTTAGAAATTGTTTCTAAAAGCCACTAAAAACTACATTGAAAATCTTTTAACAAAGCTAGACAGACAGAGATTTCCACGGACTGTTTTTCATATATCTCGTTCCAGTAAGAAGTGATTGATACTAGTGAAAAGACTTTCTTTGTGTGTTTTAGTAAAATTTAACCATAACTGTTTTAGTATTGTTTAGTGTTTGACTTTTTCCTTAGTGAAGTTTTATGAGAGAAAAATTTGTTTTGATGTACACTGTGTAGTTTAGACTTTGCTCTTTCAGATGAAAAAAAAGTCAAGTCTTCAGAATATTGGGAACATGGAGAAGACATTTGTTGCAAAATTTATACACATGAGAAATCTACCTTATTTTCTCGATAATTGTTCGTTATTTATTAGATTATCCTATTTTTCTATTTATTTATTAATTGACTTTATAAGACAACATATATATGCACACAATTTAGAAGAAAGAAATTAAAAAATAGTACAAACGTATTTTACAGTTTACTAATGTATAAATGTTTTAGAATAATTTTGCATATTAAAATATGAAGTCTTTGACAATGGGAATATTTTTAAAGATGTGAAATAGAATATTGGCATAGGACAATACTATTTCTTTTGTTGCTGTTGAATCTGTTTCAGTTAGACGAATGAATCTTTTATATAGACGATATGGTGTTAATGCTATATGCCCAATTGTATGACTTTTGACCGATGCATAACAAGATGTGTGAACATTATTAACAACAATTGTACCTTGATCAGTTAACGGTGCCATTAAACCTTGTTTCCATACATCTTTTATAAATTTAACTTTTTCCCAAATAACTGTATTATTATTCTGTTTAACAACAAATATTTGATCATCGGGTACGACTTCTTTGGCCCATATAAATTCATCTATATCTAAATTATTTTTTCGTTTTCTTCGTATCAGATGCAATGATGACAATTCAATAATTGTATCTGATTCAGTGTGAATTTGTTTGTATAATGCATTAGTTTGTGAATCATAATGAAGAAATGCGATTATAGGCGAATAGGATAGTTGATTATCATTATTAATCACTTTTACCAATGAGCCTACTTTTACATTGTGTATTTCTACAGAAGCACCATTGTCCAATTCGACTCGAGCATCTGATGGAAAACATTCTACCTCTAAAAATAAAATATATTTGATAATTCCAATGTTCAGTTAAATATTCGACTTTAAAATAGAATCAGCTTACGTTCGCAATAGACTCCCTTGTTTTTACTTCGACATTGACAATAAAATTGATTGTCCGATTTTCGTACGCAATATCCACTGTTCAAACAGGGACTTGGATTACAAGGATCATTACTGCATGTTGGACCATTGAAACCCGGTGGACAACTGCATCCTCCATATGGTTCTTCATTCGTTCGAACACACGTACCTACAATAATAATAAAATCATTTTTGTTTTAATATAAATAAAATGTTTTTCACTTCTTAAAGCACAAACCTCCATTCTGACATGGGAATGCTGTACAAAAATCCGTACTATCACATCTCGGACCAGCATAACCGGATTTGCATATACAATAATTCGCCACACATACACCCTATAGGAATTAGGTTGCACACTAAATGATGTTTAATCTAATGAAAAAATTACCTGTGTTCCATGACATGTGGCATCTCCACATGGTACATAACTGAATTGATTGCATGTTAAACCACGAAATACCGGTGTACAAAGACAATGAGCTGCGACAGAAAATGGATGAAAGATGATTGATAGTTAAAATTAACTATTTTTTTCATGAGTACCTTGACTATTTTCCAACACAACGCATGATCCACCATTTTTACAGGGGTTTGGTGTACAGCTTACTGCTCTCACAGATATTTCACAATATGCTCCACGATATTCAGGTGTACAACGACAATAGCCTTGTGATGACTCAGTTTCTACACATGTTCCTTCGTTTAAACATGGACTTGATGAACAATAACTGGCTCGTGTTTGAACATTATTCGATGGTGATGATGTTACACTGGAAGCAGAAATTTCACAATAATCTCCGCTATAACCTTCTCGACAAACGCATATGCCCTAAAATGATAGTAAGTAAGAAAATTAAATGAATCAGTGACAATACTAAAGTATAGTTTTACTTTTGTCGTTGCAGTATTTGTGACAAAACATGTTCCACTGTTTTCACCTAAAACAAATTTTTCTTGATGCTTTTTTTGGATGGTCTAGTGAAAATGGGTCACTCTTTGTTTTTTCGATTTTTCTCAGCCTTGTTCATCCGTTTGAGGTCATTCGTATAACACAAGATGTGTCCTGAAAATCTCTACAAAAATCGTATTGAGCGTTTTATTATAAAAGTAAAAGTGAACAGATATACGAAAAACTCTGATGAGATTTAAAATAGTCAACTGTCCATCCGAAAATACTATTTTTTCGGTTTTATTCCTTTATCTGCTGAGATATGGAAAAATCTAACTAGACAATTTATAGCGCTTGAAAAACTCGATCTTCTAATTATAATCAGAGTTTTACCATCGCGCAACTAATTATATGTGAAATTTGTTTTTTACTCGTTTTCTGAAAAATAATTATTTTCGCACATGAGTTTCCCCTATTGCATTACTCGTACAAAATTAAACTTTTTGAGTTCGAGTTTTTCTTATTTTATAGTGGAATGAGATGTTTTTATATCCAAATACAAAAAGTACGATAACTCTCTTTCTTTCAATATGCTGACTGAAAATATGAAATTTTCCTTGCTATCCAGTGAATTTTTAAACATAACACTAGGCTTGGACGAAATTCATCATACACGATGAGAAAAAAGACCACCACTGACAGCATCAGAAAACTTATTTTGGTGTAAAAGTTTGAAATGGCTGAAAATACTTTAGCAAGTTGACTATTTCCAGCCTCATCAGTGTTTTTCGTATATCTGTTCACTTTTACTTTTATAATAAAACGCTCAATACGATTTTTGTAGTCTTATGTTATACGAATGAACTTAAATGGATGGAACACGGATGAGAAAAATCGAAAACAAAAATTGACCTATTTTTACTGACTCATCCGATAGAATAATTATCGAGATATTTTATACGTACACGGATTTGTTAGACAAAAAACAAATTGTGATCGTTGTTGATTATTTACTGATGCTTGATTACTAGCCATCGCTGCTAATGTTGCTGGATCTAATTGTTTATAATTAACAATATTTGGTGGTTCAGCATCATATCGATGTACTTTAAAATTATCGTTTGTCATATATTGACAAAAATCACCGTTCGTATGTTGTTTACAATTACATCGTGCACCATAAGCTATAAAAAGTAAACTCAAAATTATTATTACTTTCCAAATAACATTTTTGTTTTAGGTTACCTGTCTGAATACATGTTCCACCATTATGACATGCATACTCATGGCATGCTAAGAGTATACGACAATCTTTTCCCGTATAATTAGGTGGACATAAACAAGCATAATCCATGTTTGCAACATCAATACATGTTCCACCCGCCCAACATGGAGATTCTAAATAATTTTTTTAATTTAAATTGATATCAAATGTAAATCTAAAATATTTACCATCACATTGTGAAGTTGAATTACACAATCGTTGACAAAATTCACCGCAGACACCCTTGTAAAATTATCAAAGATGTTAAACATTTATTTATATTATTTATAATACAATTATACCCTTAAGCAATGACAATATTTTCTTGATGTACCATTTTGATAATGTATTATTTCACAATCTCCACCACGACAATCATCTGATAAACACACTTCTTCTAAAATCAAAGAACTAAAATCAATATTCTTTATTGATCATTGTTTCACATACATACGAGAAATAACAGGAGAAAAAGAGTTTATAATAATACAAACAATTGTACTAATCCAAAATGAAGATATTTTCTAAAAAAATAATATGTTTTAAATTAGAACAATAATTTTAAATTTTTTTAATTGTAACATTTTACTATCAAATTCTATCAAAGAGAGAAAATTTGTTGTTAAAAAGTATCGATATTCCTATTGAATTAATGAATTAAAATAAAAATTCTCATTTATATAGCTTACCAATCTTAAATTCATATTGATAGATGAAATAAAAACTTGACAGTATTAAATTAAATTAAAATATTCATTAATCGAATAATTAATTGATTTTAATCAGTTTTTTATCTTAATTGTTTTTTTTTCTCTTGAATAAAATAATTCTGTTTATTATCGTTTACACTAAACTCGTTAAAAAGATATTATAATGTTGTGAATAAAAGTATCTGTTTAGTGACAAATATAAAATAAATTTGAAAATGAGAAAAGACGTTCAAATGTCTATCTACCTGCATATATATATGCAGATGAAGATCAGATCATGTTAAGTATTCAATTCAATTGTTTAAAAAATAAGTTGATCCTTATTCAAATGTCGAATATACTTCCGGCTCTCTCTTTCTCCATCTTTACTACTAAAATACTTTTTTTTTCTTCTTCTTCTTCATGTTTTTTTTCTTTTTTCTCTATGCATAAATTAGCTTGATGGTGATATCACAAGAATTTTTCTATTTTAGTGGGATTTGTTTGAATAATAGATTTGAAAGTAAATGATAGAGTGAGTATTAACTAGTTCACTTTAAGACTCTCTCGTGCGTAGTATATGACATAATCGTATTTCTTTTTTTTTATACACTAGTTATACGATTAACCGATTTAACCTTCAAAATATTTATAGATTACATTCCAAATGATCTTAAACAGACTTTTTTTATTTTGTTTTACTGCAGTCAGAACTCAAATTTCATCCTCATTCATGTGATAATTATTCTATTACCTTCACTTTTATTATTCTAGAACTTACCCGATCATCTTGATTTATCTTTACGAGGTCTGATTTTAGACAACTAATATTCATTGTTCTCCGGGTTTTTTTTTTGTACAATGATTAATGAACGATTTATCACTGGTGAGAAGGGAACGGGGCGAGAGAAGTTGTCATCATTTAATTTTACAAATAATCAAACAAACAAATAAGAAAAAAACGAGGCAATTTTTTTATTTCTCCAAGAATATCATATCTCAATAAGGTTGATTTAGTGTCAAGAGGATTAGTCATTTTAAAAGATAATTAAATATATATTAATAAATCAGCAATATGCTGTGACATGTATACACACGGACAACACTATTTTAATTTTTTTTTTTTTCATATGTACAAAAGACGATTATTATGATGTATATGGTTTCTACAGAAAAAAAAACGTTTAGACAATTTTTCCAGGAATATAATTTGTACTGATAACTATATCAGGATTTAAACATCGTTGACGTTCTTTCCATGGTGTTATGGCTATACGAAGACGCTAAAATATAAAAGAAACGAGAAAATTTTTTTAAATAGTATAAATATTTTAAAAGTATCATGAATAAATAAATTCATACTGTTCGAAATGATCCTCTTGTGCTAAGGAGTTGATAAATGGCTACAGCTGGTATAAATATAATTGATGATAATGCAAATATCCAGCCTAAATAATGACTCCAATCGGGATACTAAAATAAAACAATCATATCAAAGGACTATATTCTCTTCTTCTTTTTTTTATTTATATTAACAATATTACCTGATAATAGAATGGATCAGTTAATTTTCCGTATGTTGGTGATACATTTTGAATTAATCCTGAGACAATAATGCCCTATTTGACAAGAGAATTATATTTAATAAAAAAACTTTTTTTGTGGAATTTTACAATATTTTGAATACAAACCCCTAAAAATATGGGAGCCGCAACGCACCAGGAAAATATCCAAAATACTCCTGGTTTAGAGCCGAGCATCTCTTGTACATCCTCACTAATTCTTTTAATTCCTATTATCAATAATCGAGATATAAATGTTAATATTGTCACGATAATGAGAATATGTCTTACCATAAATCCAAGAGACAGCAATTGCTTCGAAGAAAACGGCGATTATTATAGAAAAAAATGCTAAAAATGAATATTAATCGTTATTTTTATTGATTTATCTTTTTTAGATGTAAAATATTTATTACCAGCATAATTTTGTAAAAGTTCTACAAAATAGACACCGGCATCTGTACAACTTGGTATTCCAATAAGAAAGTAGAACAGAAATAATCCACCCACAAACCATTCACGATGTTTACGTAAAATAGGAAATTCGTCACTCAATGCCGTTATTATCGCCTCTGAACCACCAAACTAAAATTGAAGATAATACACTCATTTCTTATTTATCAAACACACACATAATAAAATTGTTCTTTTCTTTTTTAACTTACTGAGCTATCAAGACCGAGTGTGAGCAACATTAGGAAGAAAAAAACAGCCCAAACAGGTGCAAAAGGCATGGTAGCAATTGCTTCAGGATAGACAATAAATACCAATGTGGAACCTAAAATTAAATGTTTTAGAGTTCACATTATACAATTGACAAAAAAATAAATCTACACCTTGTTCGGCAACATCTTTGATTGCTCTGCCAGATATTTCACTCATATAACCCTAAAACAATTGATTGAATGTTAAGTTCTCTGATATGAATATAATATTCATAAATATTACCAGAAACATGAAAATGACAAAACCACTTGCAAAACTAGTTAAACTATTGACAGCCACCGTAATCATAGCATCTCTATAAACAATATTAAACAGACAAATAGGAATATTGTAAGAGTTTATTAATATTGATTATGATCACCTATATACGTTATGGTGAAAATCATTGTAACTTGCAAATGCCATAAGCACACCAAAACCTGGTCCCAATGAAAAGAATGTTTGTGACGCTGCATCAACCCAGACAGATGCATCTTTTAATTTGCTTAAATCAGGTCTAATATAGTATTCAATGCCTTTCTTAGAACCATTTAAAAAGAGTCCTCGAACCATTAATATCGTTAACACAACATAAGGAAATAAGGCTGTAAACCAAACAACCTAAAGTTTTAAAGAATTAAGAATTGTCAATGAGTATATGAAAATGATTATGTTTTATACCTTTCCCGATGTTTTGACACCTTTCCACATTGAAAAAAAACATATTAAATATATAATCCCCAAACATCCAACATTTTGCCAGTTAATACCTCCCATATTACTCAAACTCAGTGCTCTTTGTTTATCCAATCGGTATACTTGTAAACTACGAGAAACAATAACATTTTCATTGATTAATGAAGAAGAATCATAAACACATACTGAAAATATTCTTGAGATGGCGATACAATTTGTTTATCAGTCAATAATCTTGAACAATTTTCATAATATGTACTGCCTTCAAATGAATGTTGATCACTTAATGCTGTTAGTGGATATGTTTGATTTGGAATGAACTCAAATGAATAATTCAATGTTCTATTAATCGACCCAATACATTGTTGAAGAAATTCTCGTCGACTATCTACTGTAGAACAATCGGGAGTGTTCCAAGTTTGATCTAAGAATAAAGAAAGATGATCATAAAAGGGAGATAATGTCATTAGAAGATCTTTATTCACTTACTACATTTACTCCACGGTAACATTTTTGAAAATGAGGCAAATAAATAATAGAGACCCCATGATATGACAACATTATAATAAAAATCGGTATAAAATGCAATGACAGTAACAGCCCAACCAATTCCTAAATTAATTTATATACCACTTAATGAAACCTCTCTAATCTATATTGTTTATCTTCTTCTTACCAGCTAATAATGGACAGATTTTTCTCCAACAGGTAATTGCGCCCTGTCGATAATATTGACCTAATAAAAGTTCCAAATAGAACAGAGGCATACCACCAAGAATAACGGATAAAACGTAAGGTATAAGAAAGGCTCCTAAACAAAAGACAATATAAAAATGAAAAATTTAATAGAATATATGATTTTAATCACGTACCACCACCATTTTTGTAACAAAGATAAGGAAATCGCCAAATATTTGCTAAATCAACGGCAAATCCAATAATCGATAAAAGAAAATCCATTTGTTCACTCCATTGTTCTCGTGGTTGAACACTAGCTTGAACCGATGATATTGTCTTGTCTGGTAGAAGACTTTTATGATTTTGTTCAATATATTTTTCATCTGAAATAATTGTTGCATCACTTGAATTTGATCGTTGTTTACCAACAATAATTTTATCATCGACTACTTGATCATCAGTTATGCCATCATCAGGAGACCATGTTGGAGATCTTGTAGCTAATAGTAAAAAGTATCTCAAATTAAAATAAATGATAAAGATAGCTAAAAAAGCCTAAATTTACATTGTTTTATTATTTTTGTGGTCATTATAGAAAAAACTCAACTTGATAAATCTAAAATACAAAACATTAAAGGAAAAAAAATGAAAACTATCCAATTTTTATTCTTGAAAATAGATTTTATTTTAATGTTTATCATATCTTTATTTGAAATGATTTATTATAAAAATTTAGAATATAAATGAATATCATTATAGTCTAATAATGACAAATTTTAGGTGGTGTTAAATATTTAAAATCATTTATTCGAAAAAAAAAATATATATATATATATTCTACATACTTGTTGCATAATTTGGTTGTGAGAGGAAACTTGTTCCTCTTATCGTCATTTTCCTATTATTATCGTTTAAAACATAAACTCGATTAAAAAAATAACTTTCGTATGTATGTTTTTGATCACAAAAAAAAAAAACGAGATTGAATTTTATCGTGTATATATAATTCAATTTAATAATGGAAAAATCACTTTTTTTTTTTACTTTTGTTCCATACTATTACAACATTAAACTCTCATTTATCTTCATTTGTTCGCGAAACAATATAAAAATCTTTTTTCTCTTCCCCAACAGAGAGCTGGCTGTCTGTTCAATTTAATTATTTATTTTCTCAAAAAGAAATTTCGACATCAGAAAAATATCCAGGTTTTAGTTGATTTTTTTATGTTTTTTTTTTTTTTTTTTTTTCTTAGTACGAATTAAACGTTTTTTTCTATAGTGAAAAAGTCGTTGGACATATTATCATGCTGAATGAATCAAAAAATGAGTATAGTAATTAATTTAATTTACTGAATTTGTCACAGTAGAAAAGATCAATTTCTTTTATAATATAATGTTTTGTTTTTTTGTCGTCTACTTTCGATTAAACTGATTTAAAACGATGTATTCTCAAATACATAAACATATCTCATATGCAATAAAAACAAAAAAAAGAAAAAAAAGAAGAAGAGCCACACATCCGTCAATTGTTAATAGGGAATTATTTTTTCTAAGTCGACAAATTCAAATAGTCATTTTAAATTACTTACAATCAGTTGTATTTAAATTTAAATTACTAATACTTGAAAGTCTTTTCACCATTTTAGTAAATTGTTTAACGATTTTTTTTGTCGATAAATACCCAATAATAATGAGATTGTCGATAACATTTAAATATTGTATAATAAATATTTAATCTAAAAAATAATAAAAAAAAATTTTCATTCTATTTTATCTAATATTGAAAGATAATTTTAAAATTATAATTAAATGAATGATATTAAACGAACGACTATTAGAAAAAAACATCTGTTCTATTTGATAAAAAACAAAAACAAAAAAAAAATAAAAATAAAAATAAATACTCTAATTAACTTACGTCAAACTCTCATCTGTGTTACTAACTAATTGACTATTTATAGTACAGTGATTCTGTTTATTATCTAATTTATTAAATGTTTCAAAACAAATCATTGTATTTTATATTTCCTCGCATTTGATTTATTTTATTTATGTTCGGAAATATTCTAATTATTGTCCTTTTTGATTGATGTGAGAAGAAGAAAAAAAAAAAAGAAAAAGAAGACTTTTCGTCTTTTTATTCTTTACTATCGTTAAAATCTTTTTTTATTTTTTTTCAACAACTCCGTCAAAGAGCTTTAGAAAAGTACTATATCATCTTAACTGATTTTGTGTTCGATTGACATCCGGAATGTTTTAAAGAAAAGAAGAATGTGTGTGTAATTGAACAATTTTATAAATCAAACACCGTTACTTCTTCTCTTTCTTTACATCATATAGAAATTACACTTAATATATATATATATATAACACATTCAAGGAGCGAATAGAGAGTTAAATATCATTTCAAGAACTATTTTAGATTGATTTTCTAGGAATAGGTTAAACATATTTTTAACAATCGAACTTAAATTAACAAATAAACGTATACACTAATGATATTTTTCAACAAAAAAAGAAACATGTCATCTTATTTCTAAACGTTTTTTTTCACGCATTCTGAACTAATCATAGTGGAAAATTTCATGCGTCACTATACATGTAAGTGATGAGTCGAACGCGTGAACGTGCACGAATATTTCATCTGTTGTCACTCACTCACATAGCAATGATTCAAAAAGCCTACATTTTCATGTCATATCTAAAAATTTTGTTTAGCACAACACATAGGTTTTCGATTTGAAAAAGTTTGATTTGATCAAGCATGAAAAATTAGATAATCAGTAGTAAAGATCACGGCTAATAATAGGATTTTTTAATTGTATTTAAGAATTACTGCCCTTTAAAAAGTATTCTGTCATACGAGAAGAAGAGAATAGCTGTCAGTTCTCTTCGCTTATTCTTACCTGTTAAAATCGAAATACTTGAATGCAACGAGAAATGGATCATTTATATACTACAAGAAAAAAATCTCAACAAAAACGTTCTATAGGAACAAGTTTTTGCGAGACCATATAGTACAAATATCCGGTCTAAACAAACCATTATTTATTGGGTATTTATCTTAAACATTCTTTGAACGTTTATTATAGTATTTCTTCCATTTCTTTTTCTCTGTGATTATGATTTCCTGTTCAAATTTGTCAACGATCGATTGTCATTTGTGTTCCATTTGTTCATTTTAACACTTGTTAAAACAATAGCTGAAAGACTATCAAAACAAATAGTATTGAAAAATATATTCTCTGATATTTTTAAAACCCAATATTTCATGCAAATGAATCAAATAAACGCTATGTTTTCGTTCAGAAAAGAAAATAAGTATTTCAAAAAGATTTTATAAAATTGTAGTACATACTCCAGCTGTCTTTCATCTTGTTTAATGGTGATATGAAGATTGAAGTTTACCATTTCAAATAGAAAATTTACAACTATCCCAGTCTAATATAGTTTTCGTTTAAAATTCATACGAAAATCGTTTAATAAGCGATGCAAAATTTGTTATGCTATTCTTGAAATTGAAACTCTTTTTTTAACGTCCAATAACTTTATCAATAGTAGATGCTTCGACTGATTTTTCGTTGTTTCTAGTATATAATTTTAAGAGACTAATTCTTTTTTTCACTCAATAATTTCGCATTATGTTTAATATATATATATATCAATCACAAAAAAGTTCTCGTTTTCCTATCGCACTGCAAAGAACAGAGAAAATCCTCGAAGATATTAAATGATATTTGTTACGATGGAACTTATTTGCTTTCATATTCTAACAAGTGATATTACACTGCTGATAGTAATTAATGAATATTCTCTTATAGCCGACAGTTATCCAAAATAATTTTAACTAACTGGGGAGAAAAAAGGATATAATTTGGCCATCGAGCTGTTTGACCTTATCCATATCTGACAGCTGTATGCACATATTAAAGATTGAGAATATAACCTGGATAATAAAAAACATATAGTATATTTTCTAGCTGTACAAGAGTTATTTTAATCCCAAAAACAATGTGAGATGTGGTTAGGAATGCGTCGAACTTGAATGCAGGCTCGAGGTTCAGTTTCGAATAGTTCGGGTTCGACTATAAATTATTGTCAATGCAGCGTTAGTCTCAAGATTTACTAGACGCGCTTTGCAGAACATGTTTAAACGTTTTTTAGATACTAAAAGCCTTAATTCCATGCTGCAGAATGAATTACTGTTGCTAGACATGTTATGAAACCGAACGTTCAACGTTTAACGTTCGGGTTCAACCATAATTCACGCTTGCTTCGTTTGAAGAACTTTGTTATTTCATTGTTTTACGAGTCAAAGTGCGCAAAGCGAAAGAAAAAACATAACTAGGATTTAAGAGAAAAAATAATAATCCGATCATATAGTATATAGCATAGTGTGCTTTCTGAAATATTTGACCTCGAACTCGAATGTTCGAACATTTTTCGGAATCGAGCTCGAACCCGAACTCGAATTGTTTATAGACGAACTAGAACGTCGAACGTCCGGCTTCGTAACATGCCTAGATGTGGTTCATTAATCAACACGATAATCAGTCGATCTTATACTACTTTTATATAAAGTAGAGAGAATCATATACTATTTGAAAATCAATCATTTTTCATCATCACAAAACCACAAAATTTTATTTCATTTCAGTAAACAAGACAATTCTGCAATTTTCAATAAGATCCAATAATAATAAAAAAAAGCAACAACTGGAATGAAATAACAATAACAAAAAATTTTGACTGACATTGATAAAAAGATGAGTGAGATATCTTAAATGCATAATAATAATAATAATAATAATTATATTAGATTTTTGAAAAAATTATAATTTCATTTACATATTTTATGTACACACAAATGACATGCTTATATTTATATTTTAGCCTATATTTATTCGTCAATCGATGCATAACCCGAACTAGAACGTCTTGAACGTTGATATTCATCTTTTTCTGATTGATTATCTGTCTGAAGATATGCATAAGTATAACCTGTCTTAACAATAATTGAACTTTTTGAATATTCATTGTGAATAAATGCACAATTTTGACCATAAGGACCTAAAAAGAAATATTAAATAAAGTTTTCGTTTAATAAATAATAGAACAAAAGACAGACTTACATGTATTTGTCATATGAAATAAACGACATAAAACTGATTTATGATTCGCATTCCTTAAATCTTCTGAGCCGTGGGCAAATGTACAATCACCATCAAATCGACAACAGCCAGATTCAATATAAAATCGACATAATTCGGTTTTATAACGTGAATTATTTGTAGACAATGATGATATTCGATCTTTATCAATAACGATCACAGGACCTAAGTAAAGTGATGATAATAATAAAGAAATAAAATACATATATAATTTATGGATGAAAAACACATACCACCAATTATTTTTGAAAATGCACAATTTCGTGTTAATCTCATATCAAATGCTCGAATATATTTTTTTAAATCAACATGTTCATCTTCTTGATATAATAATTCAAACATTAATTTATGACGATAACGTTCTCGTTGACTTTCAAATGTAGACATTTAAAGAGAATGTGATGGTGTTAAAGAGATGAAGTAGTATCTAAAATTATACAATAACATATTAGAAACACAAAACATAGACTAGAAATAACAGCAAGAGTAAAATTTGAAATTATTGATAATGATGTAAAAACGTGTAGAAATGATATATTAGTTAATCTGATCTTTGATATATAATTTTGTCAAAAGAATATCTATTTCAGTTAACTCAATGAAATAAAAAAGATTCGAATAGAAATTGTACAATGATGGACGTACAGTTTGTCTTTTGAACGAATAAAAAAGCATAAAATAAAGATGTATAGTGCAAAAATACAAAACAAGTTACAATGTTACACTAGAAAGTATCCGAGTTGACATGCATAATCACAAAACATATACATTTCTATCTTACCGTTTAAATAAATGAAAATGAGTAACCGGTTTCTTCTCACCAAAATAAAAAAATAATGAATGACCGTTATTCGTTATTTTCATATTTATAGATATTTCTTGCAATTTACAAAATTTCATCAATAAACAATCATCTCATCAGTGCCTGCATAATTGGTTTAAAACAGCTTATTAATGAACGATATTCTTCTATTTTACCATAAAATTGAAAATTGAAAAAGTCGTATATATGTCAACGATGAAAAGATAACTGTTTATATTGTATATAATATCGAAACAGTCTGGTGCTAAATAGTCTAAATTAGATGATCTTTTTCGTTTAAAAATGACTAAAACTTATCTTTTTTCCCTTGAACAACATCTGTAAATTGAAACATTATCAGAATATAGCTTATCCGTAACTTCTCAAAAGAGATACAAAGCTGTCCTAATTGACTTTGCAAGATCAAACAACATCAGAAGCGGGGCGGTGAAACTGAGTGTGAGTTAACGAAAAAAAGTATCTCTTTTGAGACGTAGCCAAGTTTATCTGTTTCTTTTAACATAAACGTTATTTCAGATCAATCCTATGTGGTTCTCTGCTGTTTTCCGCCCCAAATCTGGAATATCAACACTTTGAGAATACTTCCAAACAGCGTTTTTGGTTCCGATTGAAAGGGACTGGATTTCTCTTCTGGTTTGGATAGAGTTTCTCAAAAAATAATTTTTATTTATTCAAAAGTTCTTAACCCTTGTACTACCAACCAGAATCTATTTAGACCCTGTTCTCAAAAAACAAGAAAATGACATGACATTTTTTTTTTGCATGGATCAAAGTATGAAATACATTCTATCAATGCATTCTATTTGTTGTGTCTAAAATAGGCTCGGGAGTACAACGGTTAAAGGACTTTAAGCTGAAAATCTTTTTTTCATGCAGTTGAGTAAGTAGTTTTTTTCGAGATTCTGACTCCGTTTTTTTCCTAGTGTTCTCTTCATATTGTTCATGAAGGTTGTTTTAAAAAAAATGTATGTCGAAGTAACAAAATAGGCGGTAGTGACAAACTTATATTCAGTCTTCAATTAGCTTAGAGCGTATAGGTACTGAGAAAAAAAAATTTAGTTATTCAGTAGACTTTCAACCTTTTCCCAAAACTTGCAGCGAAAACACTGCATCCAAAAGATTTCCTCTTGAAAAGAAGTAGAGAGAATTTCCGTCGATGGTACTAAGAGACGACAACTCGCAGTTATACTACCCATTGCCAAATTTTCTACATGACTTGTCTCACCAAAACGAGAAAATAACAAAATGCATTTTGTTTCGTTTTTTCATACTAAAAAAGAGGTTGAAAAACGCGTTTTGATCCATTTTTTAATACGAAAAAACGAAACAAAAGGCGGTTTTTTATTTTCTCGTTTTGGTGAGACAAGTCACGTAGAAAATTTGGCAATGGAAGTCTCAGTCTTTTTCAGTTTTTAATAAAAGATTTGATTGTATTATACTACTTAAAAGTAAAAGACTTACAAACTGTATTGATTATTTTTCCGAAACAATACAGTAACACTTTGGTTCGATAAGATAGTCGTAATCGATTATAGCTAAAAAATTTGTTAAGAACTGTCAAAATGATTTAGCTATTTACAATATTTTTCTAACATGCTGCTTTATCGTATCTGTTTTAAAAGAAATTTAACTTACGACTATTTGGACGTTGGACAAGAAGTGAGGAAAAAAAAATGTTCAGATATTACTATCACATGTTATGTAACAAAATGGAGTGACAAAAATATTAGTGGGAGTAAAAGAAAGAACGATGCATAAAACATTAGGTCAACTTGATCGTTACTAAATTTCTAAAAGTTTTCTTATATCCATAGATATAATTATTGTATATACGATAAAATTGATAAACTAGAACTAAATAAAATATAGACATCACGAGAGTTGTCAATTCCTACGACGGACTATGATAACACAAAATGTAATTTTCACACTTTCAACAAACAAGATCAGCAAAGAAATTAAAATTGAAAGAGAAAAATATTGTTCACATTTCAAATGCAAACAGATCCTAGGAATAAATGAAGAGAGACACATTATTAGACGAAATTAATCGTAATACTTTTCTGGTTGTAATCGCTTCACGATTCAACAAGTATAAGCTTAGTAATAGAATTGTCATCGTTGAAATTAACCTATGTCGTTTAGCTACTACAATATCTTCAAGCACTCTTGGAATAAGTGATTATTCAACAAAAAATTTTCTTTCACCTACATGCGCCACTTCTGTCGTTGACTAGAACCTGTTGACGTTTGTGTGAAAAGGTAGCAAACAATCTTTGAGAAACTTTTCTCTAAAATTATTGTGATATGTAATGTATGAAGTTCGTCAAGAGATGTACGAGTACGAGTACAAACTCATGTTATATTCGAGTATTAGAAACATTTCAAAAAGAACAAATGTTTTCGTTTTTCCCAAGTTTTCAAATCTATTTTTCTTTCGATAATCAAATATTTCCCAAGAAATTCTTTTAGTTTGCTTTACGTGAAGAAAACATCTTGTTTTAAGTCAGCAAAAGAAAGTTTGTTCTTACACCCTCATAAGTTTTTCCATTTTCTCATAATGTATTCGAGTTTAATCACGTTTATTTGTTTTGGTAATGACACGTCTTTAAAGTATATGAGCGCTCTCTTGCAAATTACTCGAAGCGCCATCGCACAATCGTACCTCATTGGCTTGATACAAATCAAATCATGGGAGACTGAGGATACGTTGTGAGTAATAAATAAAATCCATCCTTATTAAAATCCTTACTTAATCGACAGGATCAATCGTACGATATAAAATGGTTCGTTTTGAGCTGTTTGTTGTAATATAGAAAGGAAGTTAGGATTTTGAAAAGGGCTATGTTTATTAATAGAAGGGAAAAGAAGAATAGTTAGTTGTTCTCTAGACGTGATTGCCATGCATTTTCACAAAATATATATAGATAGAGATATAGCTTCACTTTTAGCTGTTAAAAAAACGCAAAACTATCCTCACTCTCAAGACTTGTCACGTAAACTGCATCAAGTAATTAAGTAAAGTAAAATAAGTAACTGATTAAATATTCTACTCTAAAATTTTGCTCTTAAATTCTTCTGAAGAGTACTAACGACAATTCAAATATGTAACACAAGTATTTTTATGAGATTAGATTGGAACTTGGTCTTTAAAATGGTGACGCCAGATTAAGAATATTAGTATATTATTAATTATTAATAATTTACTAACGAGATAGTGATGAATTATCCTATGATTGTTTTCTCCTGCCCTTCCCACATTACGATGTGATACAAGTTGTTCATCCTTGCCCTTATTTCACCTCTTTGTTTTCCAGATATACTGAGTTTTTATTTCCTTTAGATTTTGTTGATGTGTTTATGTCGGTTAAATTCAATTGTTCTAACGGTTTAATCTGCAATTTTTCTATTGTTATTTTCTTATTTCTTATTCCATCAAGTCTTTTCTCCGTTTCATCTGTAACATTACAAACACCAACATTGTCACAATGTCAGGATTTATTGCTTGGTCAATATCGATGTGATTCGCCAATAATTGATAATTTTACTCAAGAACCTGTTGGTTGTCAACGTAATCATTCATCTAATGATGATACAGCACCCATCTTGTGTTATACAGCTCCAAATATAAGTTGTTCTAATGGTATTTATAACGCATCAACTGACACTTATCTATTTGAAAAACGTGTGAAATGTCGTTGGACAAATGGAAAATATTATCGTACGACAATTGCTTTATCATTATTTTTGGGTATATTTGGTGTTGATCGTATCTACTTAGGTTATTATGTAATTGGATTATTAAAATTATTTACATGTGGTTTCATGCTTATTGGTGTCCTGATTGATTTAATATTAATTATCTTACAAATATTGCCACCTGCTGATAAGTCGAATTATATTATTGAATACTATGGACCAAGAATCATTTGGAGTCAATTTAATAAAAATACAACTTACTTTAAGCCGCAAAACTACTAAGAATAACTGTAGATTGTTTTTCTTAGGCAATGAAACTTAGTTGTGTGGATTTTATTTCAAATTTTCAGATTAAAATTTTTGTATTTATGTAAATCTTTTTGTACTACTGTCCATGGGATAAATATAAAAAAATTGAAATCGATTGAAATATGTTTCTTTTTAATGAGCAAGATGGTTTCTGAGGTTATTTATTTACCCAAATACTTTTGTTGTCATATTCATTCTAAATCACAGTTACAAATGAGCGAACAAATAACAAATAAATAAGCGTACTTATCATATTTATTCGGTTGATATCTTCCTATTGTACTGTTATTTACCGTTTTAGATATGGTGGCTCGTCATATAGAAAATATCAAGGATTTATTATTCAATGAACCATTGTTTAATAATAATGATGGAGATGAAGAAGTGAAAATTAGCAGATCAGCAAAAAGAAAAAGAATAAAGAAACAAAAACAACAGGAAATTCAATCGAAGAAACAAGAAGAAGAAAAACAACAACCAATTGAAACAATTGTGTTTAATGATCCCAAAAAACGTCGCAAAAATGTATGTCTTCTAGGTGAGATATTTGAAGTGAAATAATCTTTGTGATAGAGTATATGTACTCTATTATAATCTGAGTCAATTCCACTTCAAGTCGTCTCTGCACTGTACCCTAGTTTCGTTCATCAGTATATGACTTCTAAGAGTAGAATAAGAATTTCAATTTATCTAGCTCAAAGAAAGCAGAATCCATTCTGAAAGAGTCCTTTTCGAGAGACAACATTTGCGGCTCTTTTCGTACCAAATGTAAAAGAAGTCATTTCCACTGCGGCCATTTTTTCCTTTCACATCTACTAATCCCAGCGATGAATGACTAGAATTCTTGTTGATTATTACCATTATTTAAGTTATAGTTCTATTTTTTAGAAAAAAATTTCATCAACATCAATCCAGTCCACTAATCGACTTGATGAACAGGAAGATGAGACCCAACAAGATTTAGATAATAAAACTGGTGAACTTGATTTGGAGAAAGCTCGCTATGATGTGTATAAATTTGGTATAACAGGACTGGAAAAGACGAAATATAAAAATGCTAGAATAGCCTTAGCTGTTAGTCTTGGAGCCAAGGTATCTAGTACACGGAGTAATCGTCTTATTTCTAGAAGTTTATATTCATTTCATTTCATTTAGCCGCCAAAACAAAAATCGATCAATTATCGTGAATTCTTAGAAAAATCGAAAGAAAACAAAGTGAAGGAAAAAGAATCCATTGAAAATGTAATGGTTGCTTTTCTAATGATGTTTTTCTTGAAGTTTAATTTGTTGTTTTTCGTAGGCTCGTTTGCTGGGTGATATATTTCGAAAAAATCTAAGTTCAAAACAAAACATAAATCAACATAAAAATAGAAAAGCATTGATTAATCGTGGTGACGTTGGACATTTACCGTTCTCATCTGTAGGAACATTTAAATCTGGTGTATTGAGATTAAGCAAAAGTGACATTGTGAAAGTGAAGAGTAAAACAAACAAAAACAATTCAAAAACGAAGAAACAGACGAAAATAAAACTTTAATATAAAGATTTTTGTTTAACCGTTACTTGTTATTAATAAAGAGAATACTCATGTTGATTTAAATCTTTCCATCAAAGAAGAGTCATCTTTCTTAAACTGATTATTGTTTTTTCCAGAGATTGAGGACAGTCTGATTTATTGTATTTATTTCATATTCATTACGTCGTAGGCTTTTCTAATACTGTAGTTAGTTTACTTTGAAGTTAAGAAATCTTTTTGTATGGAATGGTATATTATTTCAAATTATTTCCTTTTTAGATGCTTGTTGCATTCGTGAATAAATGATTTATCTTGTTGGACATTCGACGCTATGCAAGTAACGCAAGTATGAGAAAAATTTTGGAAAAATCATTGATATAACTTTAATTTTTAATCGTACATGTTTGAAATACTGTTATTTATTAGTTTATCGATTATGACATGTAGCTCTATCTCTATGGTATACATATCAGTGATCGTCACAGATTTAGCAAGTCCATAAAGACTATAGTTTTTGAAAAAATCTACAGATTGAGCTTACATATTTTAGTTGGTAGATGAACAAGAAAGTTTTTTAGATTTTATTCTTAATTTTTTCTCATAAAAAAATGTATTTATCTTGGAATGTGAATCGGTGTGAACCAAACTGAAATTTTTGACTATCTTACGTGTGGAAACGGATGTAAAACTGGAAGATATAATGCTTATATTTGAATCTGATAAAAGAAAATAGATGCAGAACGATCACTGGTATATCCAGCTTGTAATTAATCCTAAAAAACCATCTCTTTTTTAGGCTTTGAAGTTCACAGTGTCAGGGTTATTGAAAACGAACATTTATCGATTTTTAACAACTCAGTTAAATATCAGCTCATTAAATGACCATACAGTTTCAAATATTCTTTATAATAATGACAAAACCTACGATCTTTTACATAACTGTTTACAAGTGATTGATAACTATTTAACCGATGATGAAAATCAACAATTTTTAAATGAACTAGAACCCTATATGAAACGAAAACGTTATGAATACAGTCATTGGGACGGAGTAAGCGTTTAATTCAACAACAAGCAACAATGATAGATGTTTTCAATAGATGAAAACTTCTTCTTTTCTTTTTGGGCAATACATGGTTATCGTGAAACGGAAAAATCCCAATGGACTGTACAAAATGATCAAGTTATAAAACGTGTTAAACAATTGGCTTTTACTGAACCAACAAAAACACTCATTGATGTACATGTGCTTGATTTGGCTAAAGATGGCTATATTAAACCTCATATTGATTCTATTCGGGTATATTTTATAGATTTTTTTCATATGATTAACAAGCAGTTTTGATGATTTTTTTTAGTATTGTGGAACGACCATAGCTGGTCTTTCATTTTTATCGCCATCTGTTATGAGACTGATACATGAGAAAGAGCCAACGTTAATAGCATACATATTATTAAAACCAAAATCATTGTATATAATGAAGTAAGCTTGAGCTCCGTCTATCTAATCATAAAGTAAAGTAATTTGTGTGTTTTAGAGATAACGCACGTTTTATGTTTACACATGAAATATTAAATGATAAAGAGTCATATTTCAACAATGTACATATTCCACGAAATAGACGTTTGTCAATCATCTGTCGAAATCCTCCTTTAAATCCAAATGCTGGCTAAAAAGAAGTTCCACTAAGACAGAAATGCTTTTTATTTATTTTCAATTTTTTCATGGCGTATGATCTAATAGTTCATTATTATTTTTGCTTATACAAAGTGTTTTTCATTAAAAGTGTCCATTCTTATCTGTTTATTTATCTTTCAATTGATTTTCGGCATATCTTTTTCTCTCAATACACCACTGTTTATGCATAGCACTTTTTAGAACTTTTAACACTGAAATTAGTCATAAATAGTAGAATAATTGAGAACATTTAAAAAAGAAAAAAAGTAGTTGCACGACGAAGACTAGAAAACACGTGCTTCTAGTCATAGAAGGATCAGGATTAGTCAATTCTTTTTTACTTATATATAGTGACATTTTCGAATAGGAGAAATAAAATATAAGGTTACAATTGACTACTGTGGCTTTATTCACGTCAGATTATTGAATCGAAACGTAATGCAATTTTGGTATGATCATGAGAGATTTCTTCAGAATCAATTTTTTGACAGTTTCAGGCACGACTATGCCGAAATCATCTCAAGCTTCATTTTTTAAATATATTATTTTATTAGACGTGGTTAGACTCGGATCTTCTCATTTACGTGTGATGTAAGTGAAAAGATCTGAGTCTAACCATATTTTCCTTTAAAAATAGTTCGAGTCAAGACAAAGTTTTGACAAGATATCACTCTGCATTTTCTGATAAAAGTTATTTTTCTCAACGGTCATAAGATCTCGAAAGTTCCTTAATGAACAGATGGATGAAACGAACTATCAAATACATTTTTGTGCGCTTTTTCAAAAGTGGGTAACTTGAAATAGATCACTTGATCTTTTTTTTGCCCCAGATGTCCCAACAAAACTAAGTACCTGACCAGATTGAGAAAAACTTTGCACTGTTAGAAACAGTAAAAAATATCCATCTGCAAATATTTAATAAAAAGCAGAAATTGTCGATTTTTAGTCTTTTTTGACTCCATTTTGAGTTCAGTTATTACGCAGCTATTATAGATTTCTGTTAAAAAAATAACATAGTTTTTATAATTTATCGCATCGTAAGAGACCATAGAATTTGATAAAACTCCTTTCTCTGGCTCTATTCCTCAGATACTTGCTGAAAATCAGTGGATTTTCACTATGAATCACGATGTCATGATCTCGTTTTCTTTTTTCAATAGAGCACACATTAGACAATGAAATTCGATCATAAAATAATTTTTCACATATAAAAAAAGGCATTAAAAAGTCTTTTTCTTTTGACTAATATTAAAGAACATATAATAAACATCTCTTTGATAATATCTCATGTAAAACTTAGTTGTTTGTATTCAAATTTTACTATAGGCACAAGCCATATTACTAAACAGCAGTGAGTGAAGACAACCTCACTCTCCATTTCACGGTTTTCTTGTATAATACAACGATATTTTAGCAATCAAGATTAGGAAAACTTTTAAACATTTGAATCAGATCAAAAACGTCCTGTTATATAAACGAAAATTTATTTGATAGTATGATTCATGTAGACGCTTCTGTCTGTTCGTTAAAGATCTTTCAACATCTTGTGACCATTGACAAAAATAAATTTTGTGAGAAACTATAGAGTGATCCTAAGATCATCTCCTTAGTTACATCATATCTAATCAAATGACATACTTGAAAATTAAGTTTGAGATGATCCAGACATAGTTATGCCTGCAACTGTTAGAAATTGACTTTTAACAAACATTAGCTAGTGTCTGTCTGTGAATAGATACAATATTTGTTACATTTAATCCACGACATAAACAATCCAATTTGAAAATGTATCAGGTAAAAAATGTTTTATGTCGTAATTTCTTACTCTTAAATCTGTTATTAGAGTTCTATCGTAGAGCGCAAATTCATCTTTTTCGTGATGTTGCATGCAGAATCTGTATCTCTTTTCTTTCTGCACACGTTCTTAACGATCCGAATGTACATGCATCTTGTCGTATGTGACATAAAGAATTTACGGTCTACGGTAGAACTCTAATGCAACACTGTCAAGAATTAGATTGAAGACATCTGTTGTTTTATAGCTGATGCTTCGTTTTTGTAAAAATTGAAAAGAATTTTTAATCAGCTACAGAAAAGCCATTATCATTCTCTTGAAACAGCATTCAAGCTCAACAGCTTTCTTTGACGATTATTGTAAATGACTTTTTCTAAATTTCTTGGCGATAAAGATTTTTTCAAAAATATAGGTTGTAAATAGAAATCTTAATCAATTTCTTTTTATTAAGAATTAATAAGAAAATAGCAATGACATCGATAGTTTACACTTGTTAAACACAAATTGATATTGTTAGAATGCTGTGACTCTTGGACTTACTCTGTCTGACCGTTTGTAGAAGAATGTTTTTTATTGGGATGCTATTTTTTTTCTATTCAGACAAATGCAAAATACAATTCAAAACGTGAAAAAAATCAAATTGTTGTTGCTGGAATCTGTGAACTCAGTGACGAACAAATTGAAAATTATTTTTCGAAATATGGTTCAGTTACACGAATAAACAGCATTCGTAAACGTTTACAATCTTCCTGTTGCTTTATATTTATATCATTTAATTCATCAACTGATCCGATTTTTCAAGATCGTCCACATTCAATTGATGGTAAACAAATTTTAGTTCGACGACTTCTTCCTGATAATCTACCGAAAAGTGAACAATTTGAAAGCGTCTTTAGTTTATACATATCAAAAATATCATCAATAATACAAAAAGTGAATACTGATGAATTAAAAAAGTTATTTGAACGATATGGTATAATTAAAACATTTGAATATCAACGTCAGTTCGATCGCGTACTAATAGAATACGATGATTATGATTGTGTAGATCGAATTATCATAGATAAACCTCATGTAATTAATAATGAAGAATTATCTATTCAAAAAAATATTCCACCAAATCACAATTCATTGATACGTCAATTTAGTTCTTGTAATAATTTAAATTTAAAAGCAACAACTAATGGCTATGCACTTAAACAATATCGTAACGGGAATGGTGACCAACGACATCGAAATGATTTAGAAAAAATGTTCAATGAATTGCAAAAACAATACGATGAAACTTTAAAAGATTCAGGAAACACCAAAACAGCTTACAAAATAATGGAAAAAGGTATTCAACACCACCGTCCAAAATAAACTTAAAACTAAGTCGACATTTTTTCTTATAATGTTGTGTAAAAAATGAAATAGTTATATGGTTTGAAAGCATTCAAACATATCATGTGCAATACAGTTAAATGAGTTAGTCTTTTAAATGATTTTTCGACTTATATGGAAGTTTACATGTTTTTTATTGTAGAATTAGACGATCTAAAGAAGAAAAACGATCATTTGGAACATTCCTATGATGAATTATTTAAAAAATATCATCAACTTAAACAGCAGGAGCAGAGAGAACTCATGAATAATAATCAACCTGAATTAGAAAACAGAATACTTGAGTTACACAAACAGCTTGAAAATATAACAAATCAGTTACAGCATTCAGTAAATGTAGAAAAAATCGCTCAAGCTGAAAACTATCATTTACAAGTTCAATACGATAATCTGTTAAAACAACATCATCAATTAAAACAAGAAAATGTTTATGAATATCGAAAACTATCAGGGCAATCGAATGAGGAAGAAGAAGAAGTACATGAATTAGGAAAGAGAGTGGACGATCTAAATAAGCAACTTGAAAGAATAACAAGTCAAGAAAAATATGCAGTACATGCCGAAAAAATAGCCAAAAAATGTTGTGAATTAATGAAATATGAATATCTTAAAATGGCTGACTTATATAATGAAAAAGTTGTGGAATGTAATGAGTTATTGGAAAGATGTCTGAAAATCGAATTATTATCATCAACACACATTTTGTACCAGAAACCATTGGTAAATCATTCATTTGCTGTTATTCAACAAGAAGAAATGGAAACTCAAAAACATATCACAGATTATTTTTCAAATCAAAATTGTACGTTTGTAAATAGGTGATATTACATTCACTTGGATAATATTTTATTAATAGAACTAACCAGCGTTATCGATTAGGGAGTGGTAGGGGGCGGAAATCCACCCCCTCGTTTGGATAAAGTTACTCAAAAAATTTTGACTTAGAACTTTTTTAAGAAATTTAAGTTGAGAAACTGACTTTTATGCATCTGAGTAAGTGATTTTCTCTAGCTTCTGAGTAATTCATTTATTTACTGAGAAACTGGCTCTTATGAGTAAGTTTCTTCAGCTAATTGAAGACTGAGAGTCTTCAATTAACTGCTTAAAACATAGTTATTCAGAAAAATTTTTACTCAAGAAAAAACTTTAGTTACTCAGCAGACTCTCCACCCCGCCACCAAAACTTCTATCGAAAACGCTGGAACTAACAGATAATCTTTTTCGTTTTTCATGGTGCGTGTACAGAAGAAAATTATTTTCGATGCCTCTTGAACTACTTGCAAATCTCTAAATTTTAGATACTTAAACGGATGTAATATGTATTTTTATTTACTTTCTAGCAAATGACCTTGTAAATAACCTTCGATCAACTAATCATTTACAGACAGAACAAGCTCATAAACTCAGTTGCCAGAATCGTAATCAAAGTGAAGATATGACTTATTTACAAAAACAGATATTCGACGTTAGTCAGCCAATACAAAGTCATTATCAATATCATCGTATAACGCCTATGATAAACGATGATTATCTCACACAATCACCAAAGCAAGGTTTTATATTTTTTTCTTTAATTGTTCTATGATTTAGAGGTATACTAGGATAGGGTTTAGCTTTTACTTTTTATCTTTCTGTTCTAGCTTCGATTAAATCTAGTGGTACTACTGACATTAAAAAACGAAAACAGCAACAACAAAAACAGCTTGGACCATCACAATTTGGTATCATAGAACAATCAATATAAATTTGCACTCAGTTTTTATCATTTTATTTTCTATACTTATTACGCTTGTCTATTTTGCAACAAAGATTTAACTTACATGAAGCAGTTAAAAAGATAAAAATTATCCTAACAATCTTTTCTTATTCTGATACCATTTCTACACGTTCTTTTATTCACTACTATCTAAATCTTATTCTAGAACAGCAACCCAACGAAAAGTGATCAAGAACAACTAAAACCAAACACGAACAACGACTCCGACCAAACTCAATCAATAGATAAAATATTTATGTAGGTTGAAGCACCGGTAAGATAAATTTGTATTTTGTAAAATAAATTCTACCGGAACAGTGATACATTAAAAAATTAACTGTAATTAATATCAGAGATTTGAAGATTGTTTTTTGTTATTAGTGTGAAGTTGTAAATATTATCATCTCAGGAAACAGCTTGCTTTTTATTCTAACTGAATGTCAGATCATTGTTTTAGGTTTATTTTGATACTGGAAAGGGCAGTTTTTCTTTTCATTATTATATGTTGTACTATGTTATCTTATTATTTATTCATTTATACTTTTTTATACGTAGTTAGACTGTTAAAGTGTTTCCACGATAGTATGTATACATTCAATGTATACAGAGTTTTTTGTTAAATTAATCGTGTGAATTTTTGCAATAAATATTAATATCTAACTTAGCTAATCATCAAGCAGTATATGAATCACTCACTGTGAATCGTCGTGTTCAATTTTGTGCTCGTTCAGATCCTTCTACCATTATTTAATCTGTTTTTTATTATCCAGAACTGTTTTTCCCCCATCCTCCCCTGTGGTATTAAAAATTAGTTTACGAAAAAAAAATTGTTGCTTTTTTCCAGCAAAAGCCTTTCATAATATCTACATTGACGAGGTTCTTATGTATTTCTTGAAAGATTCTTTTAAGAATTACAAGACAAGATTCTTGAAGGAAATTCAGCCAAAATCTTGAGATAAAAATATATATAAACTATTTAACAAGACTGTTGGCTGAAATTTTCTTCAAGAATCTTGTCTTGTAATTCTTAAAAGAATCTTGCAAACAAAAACATGCATGTATAATCCATTTTTCTGCTTCTTTTCCTTTCAATATACGGAAGTTCTGACGCCAATACAGGCACATATAAAGACTCGATTGTCTCTCGACAAGAATCTTGTGAGATTTAAAGGAATTTTTACAGACATCTAGTATTGAGTTATATTATATATCGACAAACAAATAGGTGGTTTTATCTTCAATGAATCTTGCCATTTCAAACGAGAATTTTCTTTTAATTTTTTATTGATTTTTTGTGAAAGATTCTTGTCTGAAATGGCAAGAGTCAAGAATCTTGCAAGAAATAGGACAAGTAAGTCGACGAATATATGTAGCAGTTTTGGGACCCATTGACCTGCATCCAAAAATCTGAAAGGCGCAACATCTCTGGCAACAGATTCACCGGTTGTTGTACTAATAGCCAACATATTGCTCATCTAAAATAACATTACAGTAGACGAAGAAGTGAGCTTCTTATGGGGTTACATCTGAAAATACTTCCTTGACTTGATTCCGTAATAAGAATGCTCTTAAAGAACTTCAGTTTTTCATTTTTCAATCAAGATCACAAGTTAAATTGACTAAACAGTGGTATTTTTTTCCGCAGAGATTACTGATATAATATTGAATCAAGGTACTTTTTTCTCATATTATAGCGATCGGCGACATCTATGCGATGATTTATTATTGGCTCATTTAGTTTGTACTAGCTATTCCTTAAACAAGTGTGTGAAAGATAAGAAATAACATTAAAAAAATAAATAAGTTCACAAAACAAAGTAAAAGAAATGTAGAGATCAGTTTTGTGCAGATCATTATTATGAATACTCTTGCAATTTGTTCTAAGTGTGTGCGAAAATCTGTTTACTTTTCTTACATAAAAAGCATGTTCTACTCTCTATTGTATACCGTCGTTAATTTTTGCCTTTCATGTTTAGCAATATTGCTTTATTTTCTAGATTATATTTTTTCCCAAGAAGAGAATGGATCCCGATGTGGCTCGTCATTTGTTTGAGCAAGGTGGTTTATTATTGATACTCGATTTACCTAGGCAATGTGAATTCGGTATTGATATGTACACATGGAAAATAGGTCCCAAATTTCAGGGAATAAAAATGATTCCACCCGGGATTCATTTTGTTTATTATAGTGTACAAGATAATGTATCAAATGATTACGCTTGCCGTCAAGGTTTTTTTGTGGAATTTAATAAAACTATACAAAATCAAATGTTAAAAGTGTACCGTTGGTCCAAAGAGGAATGTTATCTTGTGCATGTTGATTTGTCAAATGATGATTATGAACGTTACAGATCAAATCGTTATCAAATGGATGATTTACTAGGTCAATATCCGTTGGATACTTATCGACAATGGTTATCATTAACTAATCAGTTGAAATATGAATGGATTACGCAATTACAACCAATAAATGGTCATATATGTTCAGCTACTGTTTACAACCCCACAATAATTGAACCACAGCCGAAAGCAATGGATATAAATAGTGATGTATGTAGGGATAAACTGTGAGTAGGGCAAACTAAAATGAAAAAGTAGCTAAAACTCAGTGATGTAAAGCCAAAAAAGAGGGAGAACTAGCACATATTGCCAGTCGTACTTTCGTTTTGTAGTAAAATTATCTTGCTCTATGACGTCGATTGTAACTTTTAAACAGGAACAAATATCTAAAGAAATTCTTGAATTTTGGATCAGTTATTATTATAAGGAATTTAAAAGGGGTTTTGTTCAAAATTCCTATATCTGTCGCAAAGTTTTCGTCATTCTATCTTTCGTTTTCATTTTGTTCTTTTTTTTTTCTTTACTTAGTTAGGAAATACCAGATCCTCTTCCATTTCAACATGGTCTGATAATATGCAAATACCAAAGAATTTACTAGAAGCCGAATCTCGTTTACCAACCATGACACCAATGAAAGAATATGAATTCCGTTTTACTATACTAAATAAACAACAACCAGAACAATTTGAAAATCTATCTGGTCGTTATTTAACGAAACTCAAATTAGATCGTACAAATGAACTAGAAATAATTATTCATGACCGTTATTCTTCAAATGTAAATGGTCTATTGTGTGAGTTACAATTTAGTTTTATTATATTTCTATTGGGACATGTTTACGATGGTTTTGAACAATGGAAATTAATTTTAAAATTAATATGCTATTGTCAGAAAGCATTTATCACTTATCCTAAATTTTATTGTGATTTTTTACAATTATTCTATTTTCAATTGAAAGAATTTTCTACAGAAAATTATAATGAACATTTTTTTATTGATATTGATCAAAATGATAATTATATCTATAAAGCGTTGGAAAATTTTTTTGCTAATATTTATTCATATAATGAAACTGATGAAGAAAACAACATTGAACAAGATAAAAGTGGTAATATGAAAAAATTGATTGAACGTTGTGAGAAAATGAAACAGTTTTTATATGAAACATACAAGTGGAAGTTTGATTTAGAACCAGACGATGAAAAACCGTGTGTTGTTTTGACAGAATAGGAGATGTCATCAACACATCTTTTTTACAGTATTTTTCACAGTGAATTACTAAGAGAGAAGAGTGTTGATTTTGTAGGTCTGTTATGTATTTTTTTTCTCATATCATCTCGGTTTATTTGTTGTTGTTTTTTTTATGAAAGATATGATCTTCTGTTATAGAGGAATGTTCACGTTTGTACATATTGTAAGGCTCTTATTATTGTTGTTTTTTGTGTACATATAGGGAATACGTGAAAAAATTACTGAGTAAAAGAGAGGAGTGTCTTTTTCATTCTGGGATTCATCTGCTTTTAAGTAACTTTTTTAAACATTGAAACTATATGTTCGATTGTTGATAGTCGGTGTGAAAGATTAGATTTCAAAGTAAAGCCAAAGAAGCTCCATGAATAAGTAGTATTAGCATATAGTAGTTCCAGAAATAAAACTTATTCTACATATATTATGATTAACCTAAATTATCATAAAAAAAATTTTCTATTGAAACACTGATTTTTCTTAGCGTTTTTCTGTATAATAAATTTTAATTTCCTCTTTCTTTTTTAGATAGTAAAAATTATTTTTTTATCATGTTTCTACTACCAACTATTCTAATTATCTCTAGCCTACTTTTATCCGTATTAAGTACGGCAATATTTCAATTAAATCCTGGTTGTGATCTAATTCAATGTGCAAATTCATCTACAGGTCCAAGTTTATTTTATTCGGCTAATAATGTATCAGACCATACTTATCATGTATTTTATTCGAGTTTTGATGTATTAACTGTGAGTATTGTTGAAACAGAGATTGGTGTAACACCACATATTAATTGGGAACAAATGTTTGCTGGAAACTATACGAATGCAATTGTATTTCAAGAAACTCCTACTAATTCTTATAGTATAGTTTTAAGACGTATAATGGAATTTGACGATTATAAAGATACTGGAAAAATAAGTGAAACAACATTATTTTCATACTGGCTAAATACAGCAGATAAATATAATATAAGTTATAGTGGATCAACATCGGCTTTCCGGATACCGATAGACGAGGTGAAAAAGGAAACTTGTTTTAGTTAATCGTCAATTCTGTTATTTTTCTTCTCATTTCAATAGATAAATGGCACATTAAACGTTGAGATTGTTTATGAAGGAATAAAAATGAGAGATAAAAAATTTCCAAAATTAAGCACAACACCGACAAGTTATTTTTTAAATATTGAATTAAAAGCAGCAAAATTAAATTCTTCGAGATCACGATTTGCAATAGAATTATTAACAACAGGTTTCAGTGATCATGAACCAAAAATATCAAGTTCGCGATATATCGATGATCAATATACACCAGGTACGTTTAACGTTGCTCTACCTGATTGTTTGAAACATAAATGAAGACGTTTAACAGGCTCTTCTAAACTCTAAACATGACTCAGAAACACGCTGGTCTCTATAGCAAACAACCCCGTCTGTTAAGATTAAAGATCTGACACATAGTCGAGCAGATAAGAAGAAGTAGTAAGAAGAGATATACACGGACAAGATTTTCCTGCTCGTGAACCAAATTGGTTTTTTTGCAACTGATTGCATATGACATGTATAAAGAAAATTTTCTTGTTTACGTGTATATATTATTATCCTTTTTTGGCATGTCTTTCACTATCTATATTTCGGGTACCAACAATTCATATCTTTGAGCATATTTTTTGTTGCTCAAAAAAAAATTTTCAAAAACCCGTGACCGTCAAAGAGAGCGGCTGCTCATTCATGCCCGTCCGTCGTTTTCTCGAGTCTGTCCGTGCCATCCATGGCTCTGGACAATACGGACACGCCCACGTCCACGGAAATTCCCCTACCAATCTCTAGTAGTAAGTACATAGTGCGGTGAGTATATTTCTATTGCTTACTTAGTTTTGATTCGATGTACGGAGATTGTATATACTTCCTATCCTAGCTTTTTATGAAGACAAAAAGTAATTTCGTGTAATGTGTATAACTTTGTCATGACTGACTCATCATAGGAAAAGTATTTCTAAAAACTTATTAATTTGCTCTAATTACATATAGTACAAGCGGAAACGTTTTCTATTCAAGAAATTTTCTTATCGATTGCAATATTAATTTTTTATCTATAGGTATATTCAGTGTATGGCAATTAAAGACTCCTTCTGGCAGTTTGTATCCTGCACATCTTATTTGGAAGCCTGGTAATATATTTAGCTTCTTCTGTTTTCTCATACTTGCTTATTATTTATTTATCTTATTCTTTTAGCTGTATACAGAAGTGCAGGACGCTCTATTGAGGATAATACATTAATGACAATATATGGTTTAAAAAATGTTTCAATCGATAAAACAATTGATAGAGGTTTAATTGATGCATTATATCGTATAAAATATCCTTATGCATTCAATATAAGTTTTGGACGATCAAAAGATGGCTTTTTTAAAAAAACAAATTATACATTCATACAAATAACAGCCGGTTTAGGAGAGCCTGTTCTAGATTCAACTAAATTATTCGTAACATTAGCTGTGACAATTGGTCTTGGACTACCTGCATTAGTTGCTCTTATGGCCATCATTATCGCAGTAAGAAGACGTTATACACGTCGAGCAGCAAGTACTTATGAGCCGATATCTGACTAATTACATATTTAATTGTTGAACTAAAACCGTCCATATTCTTTTTTTGCGTGCAATAAACTTTGTTTTCGATTTATATAATTAGTTCTTTTTTATTCTATTGTTCAAATTCTGGCATGTTTCTATGTTATATCTGATACTCGTAATTGTTATTTTCTCTTTTCTCTGTTAAATATGATTGTTCGAAGTTTAATCTTATTTATGATATTGCATTTCTTATTACTATAATTGGAAATACAATGTGATTTTTTCTGGCGTATATTATTTTTACTTTTGATAAAAAAAAAACCTAGAATGATACAGACTAACGTATAATATTTTTCAGTGTATTAAATGATTTACTTTACCCCTCTAGGCTAAAAGGATGCTCAATTTTTAAGCAAACAAATATCATGCGTCATGTTAAAAAAACTAAGGATCTAAAGATTTGTCCACCCGTTTTTTCGTTCATGTACGAATTGTTATGTTGTTTTACAAATTAAAATTGTTTAGTTCAATAATAAATTTCCTCATCATCTACATTCCTCATCATGTGTGACAAGATACTGGCTTCTCTTCATCCATCAGTAATTATTCATTGATTGTACACAGTTCCTGTTTACATTTTCTTCATACATAGGCTATAGAAATAATCTGTCACATTCTAATTTTCGTGAATGGATTCAAATAATCGGCGAAATATTTCAAGTATATCAATTTTTCGTTTATCAGTCACATGTAGTGAGTTATTAAATATAATCAAGCTTAATAATAATATAATTGTGCGGAAGAAATATTAACCATGCTATTTTATGTATAGTAAACGATTTTAAGTGCAAAAAGTATCTTATATGTCTTTTAAAACTAACTCTGCGGAAGGAAAAATCATCATAGATGTTTTAGTGCTTCGAACAAACCGTTTATTAGAAAAACATCACTTTTTTATCGCTAAAACATCACTTCAATCAAAACATTATCGTCTATAAATGACAACCGCCGTATCTTTTTTCATTGAATTTTTACCGTCAGTTACTAGGAAAAGTATTTGATTTTTAAAATTTATAAGTAGTAGTTTGCATAGACACAAACCTTTGATAACGAAAACAATGATTATGATTAATGTTTTTAAGCCCTCTCCCCTGAGCCAGAAATGCCGATTTTCGTCAAAATATATAATTGGATAGCCCAAAGTGTCTACTTTCTAATGGCATAATTATTGTGTCGATAGGATAGGTTTTTCATAGATTTTGAGTGAGTTTTCCAGAACCCCTACAGCACAAAAAATGGCTTTTTTGCACTTTTATTACATAAGCGCACGCATCTGCCGCACGTATCCGCGCGCGTGTTCATTAGATCCGCCATGGCAGATAACCTACAGCAAAGTATCAACAAATTATTTAACGCTTAAACAGTTTTTAAGTAAAACGCGTTTAACAGAATCAAACTTATTTTGGGTTTTTCTCAAGACTTTTTTAGCTTCAGGATTTTCGTCACGGACAGGAATTGTCGACAGCGATACATCGGCGAAACAACAGTTTTTTTTTATTTGTAGATAACACCTATAGCTAGGAGTTGACAGAGTCTGATTTTTAAATTATGCTTCCATTTTTTATAAAAATGAGGATTTCTTAGAAACCTTCTAAGGATTTTTCGACCTTTAAAGTTCTGTTAACCACCAGAAATCAGTAAATGAAAAATTCGAAAATCGGTCTCTGTCAACTCCTAGTCATAGGTGTTTACTGCAAAATAAAACCAGCCCGAGCTCTCTATCATTTACCTGGAATGAGAATTCTTGCACGTGGTAGATGCCTATTTTTGGCCCTTGTTGTGGCGCCCTCTCACAAACACTTACAAGGGATGCCAAAAAAAAATTTAGTTACCACACTTTGACATGGTCAACATTCCCTGAAAGTTTGGTTCAGATCAGACCTATCTGGACTGAGATAGGTTCCTAACATTCCTCCCGGGTTAGAAAGTTATGTCAGTTAATTTTATAGAAACGATTAATTTGCTCAGTAAACTGATAGTAATGATTAATTAATTCTTAAGAAAACTTAAATTAAAATTTCACCAAAACATATTCGGAGACTTTTTAATCGAGATAATACTCAGATTTATTAAAAATACTTTTTTAAATTTTATGTAGAGTTCCATAGTAGTAGTGAGTCGAAAGAATTGGAAATCTATTCGAAGTAAATATACACGGTCAGTATATAAATATTATCTCGACGTTTTAAATAAATATCAGTCATAAACTGTTTCATTATAGCTAAAGTAGCGATACTATAGACAGATGTTGGACAACTTAGTATTGTGTTGAGTAAACGTTCTTTTTGAATTCTATAACTAAAATATAAGTTATCAAAAAGTTCTAAATACTGTCGTTAAAACCGATAGAAAGTGAGTTTTTCTCAGTTCTGACCATGGCCGCACACTCATTTCACTTATTCTGGCAAAGCCGTTGATAGAAGATAAAAAATTATATTTGTGGTAAGATTCTTAAGTGGTATGATTTTATTCGGGAATCATAATAGCCAAAGCATATGATACAACCCGAAAAATTTAGCACTCTTCTTACATACTATTTTGAACTTTTTGAAAACTTGGATTTTAGTTATAGAATTTGGAAAGAACGTTCATTTTTACATATATCTGACCGTTTTTAGAGTTCGAAAATTTGGTTTCATTAGGAAGATGATACATTCGACCAAAACAGTATGATTGTACACAAATACAGTAAAAATGATTTTTCTTCATGAAAACTCGATTTTTTCAAATTTTAAAGGCGGTAGTCGTAACCAGCATAAAAGTCTCCATCTAGCCCATGTATGATCACAAAAATACGAAGAAAAATAGTTTTCCAGAAATCCTTTGTGGAACCAAAGGCGGCAAAAATCTTTCAAGGAAATTTCGAGAAACTAGGTCATAGAAAATGTTCCTGGCAACCCTCTGCCGTATTTGGCACAGAAAAAAGCCAATTTTATTGGATACGGGAGACCAACCTTATCCGTCCTCCTTCTTTAAGGACATAGAAATTTAACAATGAAAAATTATTTAAAAAATTGACTCTGACTCCGACTAAGAACCAGATAATTAACTATAGATATTTAACATAAATAAGCCATGATTCTAAAAAGTTTTATTTAATATTGTTGGTATGTGTTTCGTTGTCGTTTTCAAATAATCGGCGTGATAATGACTCAAAATATTCATATCGTGCATTCATTTCCCTTCCATCTGTTTAACTGTTACGGTATCATCAATTAAAATAGATTTATCGAATTTGTATTCGTATGTTCTTCTTGTTCATCAACGGATAAATTTAGAATAGGAACAGATGGCTAGATGCCATGTAAATGAAAAATATCTGTTGAAATATAAAAATATACTATTATTATTCTGAGAAAGAAAACTGTTCATATTAATATAAAAATAACCTAATAATAGATTGTCTATTTGAGTTCAAAACGGTTTCAAAATATAGTTATCAACAGTTTATCGTATCAAACTGTATTATGAACGACGTAAATGTTTTAATAATCGTTTGAAAAAGTTTTGTTTTGATTTAGACTGTAATATCATTGAACAATATTGACATTCTTCATTTGTTTTAGTGGTAGTAGTAAGAAACGAATTAATGTACATTGACAATGGCGTAGAAGCAATAGGACGAACAATATTCTTTGGAGTACTAGTGATTTCAATAAATAAATCAAACTGATCTTTATTTTCTACTAGTAATAGTCTAATAAAAAAGTAGAGATTAATGTCGATGAAAATCTGTCTAGTACACGAAAGTAAAGCAAAGAAATTTCTTGAAGTCTCTTAAAGATGATACTTACGTTGACTCATTCGTTTGGATGTGTAATTTTTCCATCGCTTAGATGTGTCAGCAATTATATAGTTATGAATGAACGTTTCCTATCTGTACGAGACAATCGTTTCTTTTATAAATTTTTATTGTTATTTTAAGAGAAAATTTGTTCTTCTCAGATCAAGCAGATTCAATTAACACATTATTTTGTTCAAAAATGTGTCTGACAGTGTTCATATGTAAATGACATGATTTCTCCTTCTTTTATATGTATGAGTTGTTAATAATCGGTGCTCAGTAGGTCTAAAATCACAACTCATTATCATTAAAAACATACCGCTACCAATGATCAAATCAAAAAATATGTTTTAAACATGAAACAAAATGTTATAAAGAGCATGACGAGCAAGATGTGAAAAACACTCGGCATATGGAAGATGTACTTATTTGACAGACATAGATATAAATATAACGGGTTTGATTTTAATTTTTTAAATTTGACAGATATATGAAGACTTATTTCCATTAGTACTTACGACAGTTTTACTACTCAGATTTATTAAAAGCAGAAGTATCGCGCATTAGACATATTAACAGATAGCACTCTCAAAATCGATATCATTTTTTAGCTTCGCATGTTTTTGCAGTCTATGTTGTGAGATATCAATTTGCCAGAATCAGAATTGTTAAAGTTTCAAACCTTCCATCCTATGTGCGGGATAAAGCTTTGTTTTATTATTTAAATGTGGATAGAGTAGAGGGGGAACAATTGTAAACGTTTTTTCGGCTCTGATTGTGTAATTAGGATAATTCATTTAATGTTAAATATTTGTTTTAGATTCTTTTTTGCACGAACGGAGATGGAGGAGCTCTCTCTAAACTAACCTATTCCAAAAATCGCCTACTCAAAGGCGTTCCTCCGCAGTTCTTGCAATTACCCCATTTGGAGGAATTGTATAAAGCGGCTGTGTAGCATGGGGAAATATTCACACAACCTCGTGGAGATAGGTTTGGTGTACACTAGCCCTGTTCTACTTCATTTTACTCCTTTCTCCCAATCAAAAACCTTTCTCCCGATTTTTTGAGGGCAGAGTCTGTCCAAAAGACTATAGCAGCAAGCATCAAAGAGAAAGCACATTCTAAAAGTTCTGATCGTGCTTACAAGAGAACTACATAATATTTGCTGTTTTTCTTCGTTAAGACAATATAGCTAAATTTTCCGTCAGCTACTGTCTAATAGCACCACTGTTGTTTAATATAACAACAAATTTCTAGCAACTATGTATCATTTTTAAGCAGGTCTTCTAGCAAATAATGTTTTCTAATAACTATCTTTCAGAAATTCTTTTCATTGGAATGAGATAAATTTCAAAAGTTGAATTGTTAACAGAAATTTTCTTCATACATGCGTAGTATCTAGATGTATCAAAAGAGTTCACGAATCATCTGTGGTTGCTACGAAAAACGTCCGTTTCACTACGGTAACTGATCTTAAATTTTTCAAGAATCTATAGTATAAAATTATTAACAAACTGTTTTTATAAGTGCAATGAAGTATTGATGATACTCAGTACTAATGAGTCGGTCGATTTTTCTTCATTCACACTTATGTAATTTGTTTTCTACTTCCCACTTATGTGCGTATTGATAATGATTGCTCAACATGATGTCTCTTTTTCATTATTTAAGATTTTTGCATGTATACAATATGGATTAAATTACTTTTTACACAGCATGATAAAATCGTTTTATGCAGTTGCCGTAATGATGATCGTTCAAGACAGAAAAAAAATATGTGTATGAGAGTGTATTGTAAAAAATCCTCTCATGAACTGAAGGTGATAAAAAGGTAGTAGCTAAAAACTACATAATTGAAAGAAAAACTGTTAATAATTTTTCCGACTCAACCCTCAAATTGAGAATGAAAGCATTATGACATGAGAATAAAATAAGACTGGTGAAGTTACTGGTATTCGAATACATTCAATTCCAATAAATCTTCACTGGAACTTCTTTCATATAACAAACGTAGCATTTCTACTATAACTTGATGGTGGACGGATTCTACATGATACATTTGGTTTAAGTGTCCATAAATATCGATGATAAAGATCTTGTTTTATTCTATCTAATTCAGTAACATTTTCACTTTTCTTCTGTTTAACACGCTGTACTTTAAGTTTTGGCATCGACTTTGATGTCGATACACGTTTCGACAATGGTTGGTTTGTGTTCGTGATTTTGTCAGGAACAGTCTTATGTGGGACGGGAGCATAGCGAGACGATCGTGTTAAATTAAAAACGTGTGAAAAGTATTCGGGACCAAATAGAACTAAATCGGATAGAAGATAGTCTTTGTTTCGTTCAAAATAGGATAGTGTACGTGATGACATTTCACGGGTTAATAAACGTGGTGAATTTAGACGTGTAGTCAACGAAGTTCGAACACTTTGACGATCCAGTGGCACTGTTTCTGGCATAACAATTGTTGAAGATTCTTTGGTTAATTCATTATTTTCGATAATTGCTGATTCACTTTCTTCTCTGATATTAGCTTCTAAAATTTTTGCATTAAATCTTGCAGAGTTTTTCATGCGAGTTGTTGATAGGGTTGTTATTGCTGCACCCTGTAACGATAGTGGTAATGACGCTATGACGTTGGTTTCATCATTACTGGCGCGTGTAATCTCGTTCATTGAATTAAGAGAGTTTGGTATTGATGCCCGTAAAAGATTTATTGAACTTCGTCGTCTCTCAATATTTGATTTTTTTTGTTTTATTAACGAATCATTAGTATTTTCGCCAACATATAATGAATATGGTGGCAATGAGCCTGATGCTGATTTCGGTATTTGAATTGAATGACCCGTTTTTGAAACATAAACAGAATTTTCACCTGGAAATTCGAGTATACAATCTTTAACAACATCTTCTAATGTCTGCTTAAATAAATCTGAACATTTTGCATTGAATACCAAAACTTTAGTGGAATTATTGTCTATTGTTGATAATTTTCGTTGTTGTTGTTGAGTAACGTCTGATGAAATGCTGACATCTAATGAAGGATCACTAATGGATAAACTCCTTTGTTGTAAGGAGAAATTAACGATACTTCCACGCCTTGATCTAGCCATGTATTACACGTACTATTTCGTCGAAATAATGAATTTTTTAGTGGTAAATGTTCAGGGCAAACTACAGTTTAAAAAAATGGCTTGTAACTATGGTATTCTACGTGTTAAAAGATGCATACGCTTCATGATATTTCATGAAGGATTGGCCATGGCTAAATACATGTATTTTATCGTCTATTTTCACTCGTTATTTTTGAAAATGATTGATTTTCAGCTGTTAATAGAGTCTATTTTCATTAATCAAATGAAAATACAAAACTCTCACTTATCACACTTACTATTCAATTATTTCGAATAAAGATTAATTTTGAGATTAAAACTAGACTTACCTACAATATGTCTTTAGTAGCTACTTCACACTAACAGCGCAATTAAATACTGAATAAATTCTGATTTGTTCTTGCATCGTCGTATTTTAACACAACTATTTTCATAAAATCAGAATAATATAAAAGAAAAAGTCGTCAATAAGAAAATATATTGTTCATATTTAAATCAGTGACCTGCTGCAATTGCATTTTAATAGAAAACAAAATAAGTTTTTATCATCCAAGAATCTTTGTCTACGTCAGTTGTTTTTTTTTTCTCGTTCAATTCAAGAAAATGATGGCCATAAGCAAAATTATTCCAATTCAATTCCGTTTCTTTCATTATCGACTAAAAAAAAAGTTTTCTTTACTTCCTTTAATGCTACCTATACTGTTAAGAGAATTTTCTTTTAATAAAAATTGTCCTTCTTCAATTTTCTTCTAATTCATTAGTAGAGAACAAAGCTCATCATATCACAATTATTTTTCAGTCTTTTTTTTTCTAATATCTCACAGTTTCCGTCTTTCATTTTGTCTCTCTTGACATTTTATTTCAACCTAATTAACTCTAGTTTTTCCTGAAATTTGATTCGCAGTGGTAACTAAAAATAGAATAAATTTGTTTTTCATTTTGATTGAAAAACGGTGGTAAAAAATTTATATGTCGTACGAATTAATTCATACAGAAAAATTCCTTTAAAGATAAAAAGAAGTTTAAACCGCGCATTCTCAACATATCTGCTCTACTAAATCACCACCTTAGTAACGTTGTTTCTTTAATAAACGTCTTCTCGAAAGTAGATTAGAAATATTGTAGATCTACTTCTGTTTAGTGAAGGTCGCTACATATGATCAGTGTTGAAGCCTTATTTTCCTCAAATAGTCTTCACTTTCTACTTTCATCAATTTCCTATTACGTAAATAGAAAAAGCTAAGAAAAATCTTCTCTGACAACCATTCTTTGTTGTATAGATTTTAAATATTTTAGTAATCTACTGAATACACATACACTCTAAAAAGAAATGCGACTTAGGATCAACTTAAGTCGCATTAACGCACCTTATTCTATGAAAATAAGACATATTAATGCGACTTAAGTTGATAATAAGTAGCATATTTTTAGAGTGTACCTTTCTTTTTCCTTATATACTGAATATATCAATACACTCATTTTTTTTGTATGAAGTAGTTCGTTACATACTGTCTTTCTTTAAACCTTGGCTATTGTGTTCTTAGTTTTTCTAACAGACATAGTGGTAAAAATGAGTAGGTACTTCATATTTGAACAATTTCTTGTTGTCTATTTGTATGGTATGTTTATCATTATAATCGGCAAAAAAAAAGTGAACTGTCAACTTTGTCAATGCTTCACTTTTTGTTTTAAGTTCTGTTTTTCACGCAAAATTCAGGTCCTTCTTGTTAAACAAAGAAAAATGGCATCAAGGTATAAGATGAGAAAACAACTATCTGTTTTGAGTATCGTTCTTCTCTTTTTGCTATAAACAATCATCTACAAATTCTCACATTCATACCACTGTAACGGAAAAAATAGTCATAAATATTTTTATCACAAGTCTTCAGTTGTTAGTAGCAATGTTGCTACAGTTTCAATCTCTTTTCAAAATATTTTTTTGAATTTTGAATGAAGTACTGTCACTGTAAAAGGAAGAAATTATTTTAACAAAAAGTAGATTTTTAAGCAATACAAACAACATTTTTGCAAAAAAGACATTCATTTTTCGCACAAAATCTTTGATTACAGACAACGATGGAAAATAGGAAAACATTTCTTGATCTTCAGCGGCAATTTTATATCGATAACGCATGTATTCTCTCGAACTTGATCATCTTACACGTTTTAAAAGCTTTAATCTTACAAATCTATTAGTATTTGAAATTGAATTACGGAGTGTCATGCTTTTGTCCTACGCTTGATCGAAACAAAGTTCCTACACGTAAAATATCAGCATGAATCAGTTGTTGAACGTTTGGAGAATGGAGCTCCTAGTACGAAAGCTTTTTTCTATCGAAAAAGAGATGGAACTTTTTTCCCCTAAAAGCAATAGTATCTTGTTAAATTTGTAAATGAATTTTTTACAGTGAAAGTTAAGAATCATAGTTTTTTAGCGGTTGTGTTTTTTAACTTTAATATTAGCTCGTGTTTAGGCAGTTTTTTTGCTTGCTCAATCGCTTATTGCTGAATTATTACTTTAAAATAATAAAGAGAGCAGGATCAGTCAGAACTGTGCTGACCGACATCTTTGCTGCTGAATATCGGCCAGTTTTGCGAATTTTATGTATGCCATAAATGTCCAAAAGCTGATTAACTTTCTCATTTGGTTTAAAGTAAAAATCCACGGCGAATGGAAGATGGCCACTATTTTCTGTCTATTCTAGTTTACACGAACAGACTATAATTACCCCAAATGAATTTTATTAAAAAGAAACGGTACTTTCGTAGTTTCTAATTAATTATTCAACGATAAATCCGAATGACGTAAAACATACAAGTGATAGAGCTTCGAACTCTCTACAAGATACATCAGTTTTTTAATCAAAAAGGTGGAAGATCACCGTTGAAACCACGTTATTTTAAGTTTAAACTTTTATAATTATACCAGCCGTTTTAGCTGTCTTGATTATAATTATCCTTAAGGTACTAATTATTATTGATTGAGTCATAGAACAATTGCATTTATTACTTTTATCATCAAAATTTAGTGATCGGACTAAAATCGTAATCTCTCAAGCAACATGTACTTAACTTGGATTTTTTAAAAGAACTTAAAAGTAAATATTTTTACCAAAATATGTGTGTATTCTTAATATCGGACGATATTTATGGCACATTGCTTAAATCAGAGTAAAGCGCTCGTTTTCATCTGAAACTCAACTGTTCCCTTTCTTTTCAAAAATCTTTTACAAATTGAGGAAGAAGGATTTATTTTACTCTTCATATGTTTCCCTAGAATAAACAGTGTCTGGACCCAAGGTCGTAACCAAGGGATAGGCACATAGGGTACGTACCAGCCCCTTGGGATTCCACTGCAGTGTATATATAGAAGAAAGAACTAAAAAAGCCTTTTTATTTACTTTTTTGCTCTTCCTACCATTTTGATTATCCTTTTATTGTGAATGAGATCATGGCTCAATTACTGAATATTGAAATTCGAAGACTGAAGTTTTAAATGGAAATTCAGACTAGTAAAGATGGAATTTTTTCTAGATGCTCACCCCTTACCAAAATTCTGGTTACAAGGTCCTGTCAAGATAGTCTATTTTATCTAAAACAAAATATGACTTATGGCATGATCTATATAAAAGCGTTGACTATAATGAATCAGAATATGACAGAATATGACGTAGTGCTCAATCAACCATGAAAAGCAGATGTGCTTTGAAATGTAAAGGAGTCCATTTACCGTTTATGTTAGTGATGTTATTCTGAGACTATAGTTAAAATTAAATAAAAATGGCTGCAGAATCATCAGATAGTGAAGTAGAAACAAAAAATGGTTTATTAAATTTTGAATTATGGAATCCGTTCGATTTACATGTTATGTCTTATATACGTTCACCAATGCAGCAACATTTTGCTACTGAGAAATCAAATGTAATTTGTCGTGCATTACGTTTAGCGGTCGTCGATTTATTAGATACAATTGATAAAAATAACTATCGGGAAGATGATACAACAATAATTGGTACTGAACATCGGACATTTCGTTCACGTCATTATCATGTTAAAATAGATGAGGGAGAAAACATTACCGGCAATACTTTTGAACAATCGTTTGAGTTAGATGTAAGTGCATTGGCACCATTAGTATTTTATCAATTACGAAATGATATTGGAATATCGAATGAAGAATTTCGTCATTCATTTGCTCATGAACAACTAAGAGATTTTACTAATCCAGGCAAATCAGGTAGTCTAATGTATAAAACAAATGATGATTTGTATATAATAAAAACATTGAGAGATTATGAAGCTCGTTTATTGATTCAAATATTGCCTGGCTATCATATACAGTTAACACATCGTTCAACAATATTAAATCGTTATGTTGGCTTGTATGCAATACGTTTTCCTAAATTACTATCAACACCTGAAATATATGTTGTCGTTATGGTCAATGCGTTACCATCATATTTAAAAATAAATGAAATATATGATTTAAAAGGATCGACAATAGGTCGACGATCACGGATTAGTCATCCACAAGAACGTTTACATGCTCTCAAGGATTTAGATTTTTTAGAATTTTATCCCAATGGTATACGAATACCAAGTAAAATTTATCATCGTTTACAAAAAGTGATATTAAATGATGCTAAAGCCTTAAGAAAATTAAACATAACAGATTTTTCATTAATATTAGGTGTTCATCATATTGATGTTAATCCAGAAGAATTAGCTGAATATCATCCAGCTCTCGGTCTTAGTGCTCTCTTTCATATGAGTAAAAGGTTTTATGTTATTGATGAAAACAAAACAATTGAAACAATTGAAACAATTGAAAAACCAAACAATAATGAAGTATTATCTTATTTAAAACCGTTAAAAATCATTGGTTATGATGCCACTGATGATCATTTCTATGATCACGATATGGACGACATTGGACTTTTAACGTGTCCTATTCCTGGAATAATTAATAATACAAATAATCAACGAGTCTACATCTATATAGCTTTTGTTGATATGTTACAGACATTTGATAGTTTCAAACTCATAGAAGCAACTTTAAAAAAAATATCCGATCCATATCGTACATTACAATATTCAGTAATTGAGCCAAAAGAATATGAAAAACGTATTACCAAATTTTTATTTGAAAAAATATTTATTGATGCCGAAAATGATTTTCAATGGGTAAAAAATGATCAAGTAGTCTTGCCGATTGAAAAAGAAACTAAATCAGAAAAACGTAAACATAAGAAACACCGTCATCATAAACATAAGCAATCAGAAACAAAAGATTTCGAAGCTCATCAGGACCAAGCTGAAATATCTGTACAGAACGGTGATTTCATTGATCTTCGTCTTTAACCGTACAAGTGGATGAACTTTATAGAAAAGATAACATTAAACAAACAGTTTAATCGTTCTCTTGAACAAAGTAGTTTCTGTAAAGAAATTTACTAAGAATAATGCTACATATAGAGCCGTAAGGTAGTATCTATTTGTAGGATTGTATTCTATTCGCTAAGCATTATGGAAAACAAGTATTGTAGTACAGAGTTAGAACCGGTTGGCAAAAATCCAACCAAAACCACCGGTTAGGAAGTTTTGTGAACGGGTAAAAAGTCGGAGAAAAAAAAGAGTAAAAATTGAAAATTTTTGTAAGACTGTAAGCCGCATCTTGCGGCACGTAGCATTAATCCACTTCAGCAAGTAGAGCTCGTCTAGTTTTTCGTATAATTGTGAAAAGTATACGGAAATGTCGTCACAGTTTAAAGGCTTTAGTTCAACCTCTTCGAGCCAAATATGGAATAGATTCTAGCCTACCCTAGCCTGCAGGCTTCGCCGTCTATGGCCAACCGGCCGGTTGAGTTTGGGTTTACCGATCCGGTTCCATCTCTATTATAGTATACGTGTATTACAAAAAGAATAAAAAAATTTATGTCGGAGATAAAAAATTTAGATCACTACGGAAGTCTAGATATTCTTCAGAAAAGCGTAAATTAATTCGAGTTTCGGTATCATTTCTCTCTGTCATTCTAGTCAACAAAGATCGAAAACTTGACTTTTCATGACAGATGAATGCACTTGACGATAGGTACCCTAGTACACTGTTAAAAACCTGTGTCCGTTCTTTGGAGAACATGATAAAGAGCATGAATGTGTTCTTTGAAAATTGAAGAACACAATGTATGTTCTTCAGCCTATATTCACGTTTTTGTTCTTCAAAAACTTAGTTCTTCATTTTTATAAAGAACCAAAAACGAATTCTTGTTCTTCAGAAAATATAACTTTTGTTCCCCAGCTTTCTGAAGAATAAAAATAAACATAAATCATATTTTTGCTCTGCAAAGAACAAGAATCAACAGTCCGTTAAAATATTCGTTTATGAAAATGCATGTATCGGCGCAAATTGAGGAGAGGTGATGAATGCGATCAAATGGTAATAACGATTGCCTTCTACAAACATAAAACAATAAACAAACAAACTTTTTTTTGCGAGCTGCATTATTGTCCTTAGCTTTTGTTGAAATCTTTTCTGTTAAATCATTGATTTTTGGATGATTATTCTTCTTTTAAATTCTATTCTGTCGTAGTTTTGTCTGTTTGTTTTCATTTGTGCTAAAGAGGAAATTTAGAAGAAAAGAGGACTTCCGGACTCTATGAGGTATAATTATGTTGTTTTAGTCTTCCAGTTTGGTCTTCTGGCTTTGCCGATTAGCTTTTTAGGCTATAAGAGAGATTTCTGAGATTTCTTTTTTTTCGTGTGTGTTATCTACCTACTATTATTCGTAATTCTGCATGTTTGTTCGTCTGCTGGCATTGTGTTCTGCCTTTTTTTATTATCTCCTCAACCATGTAGTTGAGTTGAGCTACGGTTAATTACTTCATCGAAGATTAGATTTTTCCAAGTAGTACTAGCTAGCTCAACCCTCTCTAATCTGATGCATGCTTTTATACTAACACTTATTTCATTCATTTACACATTTTTCTTGTATGCTGCTCACAAAGTGGGCTATTTCTGACATTATTTTCTTGTTTATGCTATTTTACGTTTAAATAAACCTGTTTTTCTGTTCTTCTGCGAGAAACTTTTCTCATTTTATACATCACCTTTCTGCTTATTAATGCAACTACCATTTCAACTCACTAGAGCCGTATTAAATAAGGAATATCTCTATCTTTTCACATCTTGGCAAATGTTACCACATGTCTATATAGACATTTCCTAACATATAGGCATTCGCTAACATTTGCTAGGATGTGAAAAGATAGAGATATTCCTTATTTGATACGGCACTACTAATAAATTTTTATACCAACAAACTGATTGAAACCTTCTGGGATGGTAGCTCTATATATGAAAAGAAAGCCACGTTCTTAAAATAAATGAAACCATGAGGATTTGAGTTCTTCAGCCGATATCTGTGTAAAACAGATGTAAAACAAGGCGGAGAAAAAAATTTTTGTTCTCTAAAGAACAAAAATTATGTTCTTCAACTTTTTCGTAGTTCTTAAAAAATGAGTTCTTCAGAGAACAATTTGTCCCTATAGAGAACAAAAATCTGAAGAACAAAAGTGTTGTTCTTCAGAAAGTATGATCTTCATCATTTGTGTTCTTCAGAGAATTTGTTCTTCAGTTTTTTGAAAGTTCTTGAAAAACCTGTTCTCTGAAGAATAAGTTGTCCCCTATAGAGATCAAAAAGCTTAAAGAACAACCATTTTGTTCTTCAGAAAAGTGAAGATACTTGTTCTGTAAATCTTTGGAGAACACATATATGATCTCTATAGGGGACAAATGAAGATCATTTTTTTTGTTTTTTGAAGAACACAGATTTTTATCAGTGTACTTGCATTTTTCTATGCGGGTATCCTGTTACATGAATGTCATAAGTGTTTGAATTTTTTCCAAGTAAATATTACTTGAGAGGTACCCAATTACTTGCGCTGGACGCTGCATAGGTACCAGACTTTTTTCCATTCATCATTTTGTTTCGCGTTTAGACATATATAAAAGAAAAACATCTGTTTACAAGAATGAGGGCGTTTTTATTTTCACACGAAAAAAGGCGTTTTTATTTTCACACAAATACATCATTTTTTTCATCGAGTTTTAAGCTTGATTCACATAATCACTATATACCTTTCTCTTTGTAGGAATGCCAAAACTGCTCATCGAATGCCTACTTATTTCGTTCTGGTACATAATGAATCGCTTCAAATCTATTTTGTTTTGTTATCAACGTTCTAACCACGCCCACATATACACACAAACAACTAAATACAAAGCATCTAAAATCAAAAAAGATATTTCTCTTCTCTTAAAGAAAAACTGCATTTAAATCCAATTTAAGAAGTAAATGGCTAAATACGTAAAATTCTTTAAAAAATTCATCGTTTTAAAAGACCAAAAATTTCAAATATAAAAACATCACTTTAATTTCAGTTAAATATCTCAATAAAAGTACTCATACTATGACTATGACTTTATTTATAATTCATCCATGAGTACTCATATGAGTTCTACTAACATTTTTTGAGTATTTCTACTCAGTTACTCATGTGAGTACTTAGAAAACATTTTCATTTACTGTTTTATTTTGCAAAAATGAAACGTACAAAGAACGTAGAATTTAGTCAAGAAACATAGAATATTTATATTACTTTTTCCCGCTGGTCACTCTGTATATAGTCAGAGATGGACTCGATTGTGAATAGACATGAAATCTAACTCTGACTGCCTGAGATCACTCCTCTATGTAGAAAGACCAGATGAACAATACCCATGAGTATTTTGCCAAAAATTATATGAGTACTTAACAATATTCAAGCGTAAGTACTCAAAGTCGTACCCACAATACTCATTACTCACTCATGAGTACTCATGTGAATACTCAATGAGTAAAAAAATGTGTGAGTACGCATGAGTATTTATGACATTTTTCAGCAGAGTACGACTTTGAGTACTCAAGCTTGAGTACATTCACTAGGTTAGAGCATGATAATTACTGGTCAAATGTTGTTAAAAAATTCTTGACGATAAATACATGCTTACAATAGAACCCGTTTTAGGAAATACTATTCAGATATAAGAATTTATTATATTACATTATTTTTAAAAAATTATGTTTTATTTCAGAAAAAAAGTACGAAAATATTTAACAAAACACGTGAATGTATCATCAAAAAATTAAAAGCATACGCTTTTTCTACATATTAGACCAAAGTAAGGGTAATGATTGTTTTATCTCTTGAAGAATATTCGACGCACCTTTTTGATTAAGTTTCATAGCTAATTTGACTCCACAATGTTCAGCATTTTTCAATAATGTTTCATCAATATTAAGACAGCAAACATGTAAATACTGATTATAGAGAGTTGTTGTTGCATTAGATTTTGTTTGAATTATCGATAGTTTATTCCCTCCATCATCATTATTATTATTATTATTGACTTCTTCGTCGTCAAAATCTTCGTTTGCATGTTTTCTTTTCAAATTTAAACGTCGTTTTGCAATTTCAACTCGCTCTGCTGTCGAATATTTACCATCATTACCTGTTACAGGAGAATTATCCCTTTTTATTGACACACTTCTATTTATTTGTAATTTCCTTCGTGGCAAAGTTATGTCAGAATAAATAATGCGATCTTTAACAAATTTAGTTCCATCCAGATTCAATAATATACCATCGATAATCAACTCCTTTCCATCGTATTGTGTTTGCACAGCATTCGGCACACTACAACCACCACCAATTCGTCTCAGAAATGAACGCTCAGCGATGCAACGAATAACAGACGGAAAATGATTTAACACGGACAACATTTTTATCGTGTCATTATCATCGTGACGGCATTCAATACCCAATGCACCTTGACCAATTGCATACAAGACGATGTCAGGCTCAATTATCTATGTACAAAACGACAAAAGTAGTACAACGAACTGTCTGCTCACCATCCTCATCACTTACTTCGCTGATAAGATGTGTCCAATGTAATCGTTGTAATCCAGCCACAGCCACTATCATTGCATCATAGCCCAATGTTTTGTCTGAAAGTTTTTCGTATCTTGTATTCATATTCCCACGAATATTCTTATAGTGAAATTTCGAATAAGCCAATTTTAACTGAGCAATACGACGTGTTGAACTCGTTCCAATAACACTAAACGACAGAAATAGATTGAATGTCAGTTACGACTCCCCGTCAAACTTACCTCCCATCAGGTAACTCATTCAACGATTTTTCTGTGCGCCACGGTGCAATTACAACTGCATCTCTTGGATCAGCACGATCGAGAATGGCACCGATGATCATATTCGGTGGTAAACTAGTCGACGGAACATCTTTCAACGAATGAACGACAAAATCAATACTCTTCTTTTCCAACTCGATTTCAAGTTCTTTTGTAAACAAGCCTAAAATAAGAAGAGTAAGATACGATAAAACAGCTGTGTGACGTCTGAGCTCACCTTTATCGCCGATATTTGCCAATGGATCGAGTAGGTTTTTATCGCCAATTGTTTTTATTTTGACAACATCGTACTCAGTGTTCGGATAAAACTTTTTCAAATTTTCAATTACACTAAAAGTAATGGATAATAATGCAGTGTTGATTGTATATTTTGAATCTTCTAAATTAAGACCACTTTTTGTCTTAATTTAAAAGTGGTCTCATTTTGAATGTCTTAATCGACATCAAACAAACAACAGAGGGCGGGGAGTCAAGTGAACAGGAGTGTAAAAAATAATGGTCTCAATTAAGAATTAGTCGTATATTTGTGCTAATTTACCTTTCTGTTTGTACAAGTGCCAATTGACTTCTTCTTGTTCCTACAATATATTTTTGTCTTTGTGGATGATAAAGCATGTTTGGTTCACTTTGTAGTGATACTTTGGAAGAACCTAAAATACGTACGAATTTTTTTATAAAAGTAGGTTATGAAATTATTTCATTTATCTCTTATTTGCTTTTCATTATTAAGAAAGAAAAATATAATTTTGGAGAAAATAGTCCAATGCACAGTTGGGTAGACATTCATGAGCTTATATACACGCGAGTTAATGTTACGTGATAGTGATCACCAAGAATTAGTGGAAATATTAATAAAATACACTGTAGACGTGTATACCTTATCAATTGCTAAATTTCCTATTTTTCTCTCGTTTTACAGTTGCACCCTTCATTGAAGAATAGAAATTCCTTCTTGTACACACTTTCGAATAGAAGTGAAAATTCCACTCTGACTCACTATTTTATATTCAAAGCAAAAGAAAAAGAACGCAGTGGTGACCAGTATACATATTTGCTATGATAAAAAAGCCTAGATTTTAATAACTATGTAATTAAAACATAAGTTTCAAAGTGTATCTGGAGATTGTAAATCCGTAGAAATGAAATAAGGTCTTGCTTTATTTGGGTAAAAGCAAATACACTCTAGCTGTTAGGCTCAATATAATTACCTTATTAATATTACCTCAGAATGAATTGTTAATCCAGTAAGATACCTTATTTTCTTTTCCAGTATTTGAATCTGTTTATCACATCCAGTGATTACATAAAAGATAATTGAAACACATTATTCAATTTTTAATTCCACACGTCCATTCATGTTATAGCCGTGAATGATGGTAACTCACCATATACTAACATATAGTAGCTCTTATTCCAACCTTATAGGAATCTTATTAAAATTTTACATGCAGTTCAGTGTGCATCCAGGCCGACATCAGGCAAAAAATGACCATCAACTTTACAACGATTCATATAGTGAACACTACACTTCAAAAATTGCTCTATTTAATGGCATGAAAAATTTTCTTTCATACCTTATGTAGCGTGGAAAAACAGCTGTCGAAAAATTAGCTGCAAAACCGTGACATCGACAGAAAACTCAAGTTTTTTGTAAAAATCAGTGAAACGACAACCGGAAACAACATATACTATAAATGTGCATGGTGTTCACTATCGGTTAATAAAAAAAGTGTTCAATTAACACTGATGCTTCCTGAGAAAAAATAATAATAATTTTTCCAAAGTGATTTTCCGAACGGCCACATTGGTGAAATGAGCGCTCCTTCACATCCTACTTTGGAATTCAGCCAAACTTTCCCAGAATGTTCTCCTATGTGCCTTCTATCACCACAGATAGCATAAAGTAGCATAAATGTTCCTTGGTCGCACAATAAACTTTCCAAAAAACCTTGGTTTTCAGGTATTTTCCATTTTTCTCGTCTCAAGAGCACTTTTATTCAAAATTAAGGTCATATTTGAAACCAGCGAACTAAACTTCATCGAATAGTGTATGAAATGTCTCATATTAGAGGAAAAAGGTTAGTAAATTAACGTCACTCAAGCATGCGCTTTAAGATAAAATCTGAGAAATAACGCCTACCTATTGAAATAATGTCTGTTAGAAATGACACACTTTTTCAAGTTGGGGGTTGGAAGCTACGATCTATGCTTGATTACATTTGTTCTTCTAAGTTTCTGACGTGCCTTATTTCTCTCTTGCAGGTCGATCGATCTATTCGATTATCCTTTCATTATATGTTTCACAAATTTTATTTGTCTTATTATTTTCACTCTAGGATAACCAGCAGCTCTAGTCTTGCTATCGAACGAAAGTCAAGATAATGCCGTAGTTTATTAGAATTATTTAAAGCTATATATATCAAGAATCAAATCGAAACGTTTTTTGTTGGCAACGATTTTAATGAAACTGCAATGATTGAACAAGTATTTCCAAGACAAAGTAAAACTTTACCTAGAATTGCTAAGTGAATCAAGAATCAAGAATTAAGTAAAATTAAAGTTACTCATTATACAAGGAACAAAACGGATATGCGAATATCACAGTCAGTTCAAAGAATAAACTGATCTAATCTTTTTTTATGGTGCGGTAAGCTGTGCTCTTGGGTTTAATGGCCGAAAGTCTAATAAAAATTGAACACTACCCAGCGGAATTCATCACGTATTATTTGTGTTTAAAACAAACGATTAAAATATTCATTGAATAAATATAGTAGAACAAGTGAACTCATTATTTCACGTGAACGTAAATTTACTTTGCTTATGTGGTGACTGTCGTTGTGGGGCAGGGGAGTGGTTGTTTGCGTTCTCTCTTGTCTTCTTACCTCTCCAATCGTCTACAGTGTGTGCGTGTGGATGGTTTTATCTCTTCTCCTTCTCTTGTTTCTTCTGGTGTTCCCAAGACCGCTTTTGTTCCTTATTCTTATTAATGATTTACCTCTTTCTCTTCCACAAAAATTGCGAAATCTGTCTTTTTGCGGATGGCGTCTTTTTAATTGTATCTCTTTCTTCTTCGGATTTCTTTAATTTCTCTCATGTTCAAAACTTTATAAATTTTTTTGTTTCAAATTGGCCGTCCTCTAAGCTCATGTCTCTAAATGTGTCCAAATATTCTTGACTTCCTTTTTCGTATTATCTCTCGCAATTTTGATTACCGTTCTTCTAGCTCGTTACTTGTGCCTCAACTGTCTCTTTTGAAATCTGTCACTTTGTCATAAATATTTTCGACTGTACAGTTTTTCAGAATTTATCTTCATCTTAGTCCTCTTTCCATTTCTATACTGTTGATGGCCCTTATTATTCTTCGTTACGTTGCCATCATTTCATACAGTTTACTTTGTCAGTTGAAGTTAATCTAAATACAACTGAAAACTTTTTACTTTAATTTATTAGAAGCCCGTTTGTACGAGCAGAAAAAAATTAGTCGTTAAGACTCATTGTATTATTCCTCACCACGGAAATCTTTAGTAAAAGGCGAAAGATTTATTCGTTTGATGATGAGGAATCAGAGTTAAATGTAAACTGAAATAAGTATTGCTTATAACTGTTTGTTACTGTAAAACAAAATAGGTGAATGAAAGGTCCATACAAGAAGTGAATCATTCCTTCTATTCTTTTTATTTCTCTATTTATAGTTTCTTTTTGTTGTTGTTTGGATTGAGTCATTATTATTATAGGTCGATGATTTTTGATGACTTTCACTTTTTGTGAATAAGTCACTTTTATCTCCTTAGTCAGTGATTATAATAGACTGAGATAGCTTCGCTAAAGTCAACTGAATGTTTATGCACAAAAATCGAGAGCATTTTAGTTTCAAACACACATGACTACATCAGTTGTAGGTGAAAGCAATTCCTACGGCAAAAGAAAGAAAGACAGATTCTTTCTGAGCTACATGGTTTGATTGAATTTCTCTTGTTGAATCTTAGCAACCACTCAACATACGAAGGTTCGGAAATTATCTGTCGAGTTTTACCGTCATTAGCGTTAAAAATCAAACAAATACGGGTAATTTAACGATGAATAAAATAGTTTCTGATGAATTTTAACAGGTTCTTAAGAAAAATATGTATTTAAGAATTTAAAAAATCAAGTAGGAGAAACAGTGAAAAATAAATAATAAGGTAAGTAGCTGCCACAAATATCATTTTCTCTATGAATAAAACAACAAAATACGAGTTTTCGGCGTATATTATGATGTTTGTCGGATATATATGACGTCATGTGAACAGTTAGTCAAACCTTTTATGTTTCTTTCTTTTTTGTTAATCTGTCAGTCCTATACGAACAAAGCGCTTTTATCATACATCATGACCTCTTAATCCACCTCTTAATTTATCATGTATTTTAGAATTGTTAAAATATCAAAAATTTAAGTCAGTTTAGAACAAAACTACTTTTTGATGGTACAGTGCTTAAGCAAAGACTTTCGCTGTAAAATGTAACGTCTGAGACCTTCGCACAAGGAGAGATTCTGGAGATGACGTTATTTTCTTTTTAATATTTTCAGCGTTATTATATTAGAATAAGTGATCAATAAAATGAAGTATTAACATTAATTCCGTGTCAGATCATTCGCGAATCGCTTGTAATAGTAACAACTCCAGGAGATTTCTCGTAGTGTCACCCAAAAAACGCCGGTAACTACCACTGGTATGATGTAAAATCACTTAGATGAGCTAAGCTCTGTCGACGACGCCTATGGCAACTTGTTATATGAATGATCACACTAACATATAACAAAAACATATAACAACCGGTTAGGATGCACCGGTTATAACCGATTGAAGTTATGCACTTCTCGTGCAAAAAGTTTTCAACGAAAATTGATTCTCTAAAATTTTTCGAACAACTGGGTTTGACAGAGGAAACATTTTGCTACAAGATGAACTATGGCGAGTGTTCTTCTATGAGTGTTCTTCTTCTGATCGAGTCATGGCCGGCGGAAGGGGCGGGCGACCGATCGGGGCGCTACAAAGCAAGGGGTGCCGGAGGCGCTTTGGTTTTCTAATACTGATCAGGCGCATTTCAACAGATATAGACAGAAGGGGTGGGGCGCAAAAATAAATTTTCGCCCGGTATCATAATTTTGCTCGCGTCGGCCCTGGATCTAGTGCGTATAAAAAAATACTTCTTAAAAGTCCGATGATCGGTTATAACCGATTTGGGGCTCTTCGTCGAAAGCGCTTGCGACAGAAATAGAACATATCACCGGAAAAAAAAATAAAGTTGATTTTGAGTTGCTGAAAAGTGCTTTTGCGTATTCAGGATACTCGATAACCTAGAAGATTTTCTGTTTTTGACGACGGATACTGCCAAAAGTGTAGGAAAAATTTTCAAACTAATATTATTTTCCCATGGAATTTGCACCATTTTGTTTCAACTAAACTTTTTCCGACGATATGAAACATGAAGACTTCCGTCATAGCTCATTTTGCAGAAAAATGTTTGCTCCACAAAATCCAGTTGTTAGAAAAATTTTAATACGCTTCTTTTTCATGTAATCCGTTTCAGAAAAAAAGTTAAATTTGTTTGTTATAACCGGTGCCTACAACTGA